CACAGTGAGAGTCAGTCATCTGCATGAAGACCACTGACAAAGACATTTTGGACAGCTCTACAGTGGTGGAAAGAGTATACTTTGATATTTCATTTAAAGTGAAAGTAGCTATACAATAGTGTAGCAATATAATCTGTTTTGAGGAAAAGTCCTGCATTTGTAGATTTTAAACATTTCTTGTGTAAATATGTACGTGATTAGAGTAAAACAAATTGATGAGAAGAATAATTACCGTGTTACATTTTAAAAGGAAAAGTGTTGATGGATGAATGGATGTAAAAACAAAAATGTAAATATTTATGATGTTACGTGATAGACTTATTACATTAAATAATTGTTGTGATACAAAATGAATTGCATTAACATATCACAATATATACACATACACCCTTATAACCTTCAATATTAACCATCTATTTTTTAAATAGAATTTTAGGCAGCCCATGCACACATGTGATTATCAATTATACAAATATACAACCGCCTGCCTAGCCTCACTGGCATTAACCAGAAAACAGACAAAACCCAGGCAACTAAGCAAAACTGACCAAAAATAAATAAAAACATAATGGCCACCACGGCCATTTCAGCGAGCCGAATAAAGCCAAGAAGCATATCAATAATAATATAAAAGTGTTATTACCTGATAGCTGTTATTGAATCAATAGCAGAATAAAGCAGCACCAAAGCAGAGAACACGCATGTATTAACAATAGAAACAACACAGCGGGTACAAACACATAGTCCTACAGCAAAACAGGGCCCCACAGTATTAGCAGTGCACACAAGCTCACAATGCTTCCTTTCCTTGCAACCTAATAGTTCTCCTCTGTACGGTCAGTTTCAACCACAAAGTTATTGTAGGCTGCTCACCTGTGTGGAGGGCTCTGTGTGAGTCTGAGCATCGGGAATTCCTCCTCTATTCACGCTTCAGGTTTAATTCATCTGCTTGTTCATCCTCAAAGCATCATGTAGCCTTTAGGGTCCCAATTACAGATATCAGACATTTTGAAAAATAACAATCAAAAGTAGTCTAGACACAAACAAATACTTTCTTACAGTAACAGGAGTTTTCTGTTCTAACTCCTCCCCTGAAAAAGCCTGTCCACATTGTTTTATAAGGAGCATGATTCAATATGTGCTGCACAGTATCTTCGCATCAATGTTACTCTATATTGCCAAGGAGCTCGAAAGGCCTTCATACTGAGCAGTAGATCACTTTAAAATATCTCATATCCATAAAATGTCACACCAGCAAGTGAATAATGACAATGGGATTCTGTAACTATTGTACCATGGACAGCTTCATCTACTCAATCCCAGAACTCATAAATATGATTTGTACTGCCTAGAATAGGCTAAGTCATTTTTGTGAACATGATAAGACAAAGGACCCAATGATTTAGGCCCGTTTTGTCATCTAGGTATAAAGCCAAGAGGCATTGCATGCATTTATAGTGATGAAAGAGCACTTACTGTGTAAGGGATGAAGAGAGATTTGTTGGCTCTTACAGTGAAGCATAATTGTATAATGAAGAAGAACTGTTACTGTAATTCCACCACACTGATTGTATACACTGTTAGTGAAGCAGTTGGAGAGATGTTACACATATATCACATGACTGGTTTGCATAATAGTTTTGGGTAAAAAAGAGTTCTCTGGATTTCTGATTTATTTTTTTAGATTAAAGGTCCCCTATTATACTATTTTTCAACAATATATTATAGGTCTCAGATATATAAAAAACATGTCTCTGAAGGGTTTGGCTCAAAATACCAAACAGATCATGCATTGCAGCATCCCATAATCCCCTGTTTCAGCCCTGTTCCAAAAGTGCTGATTCTGTGTCTGTAGCTTTAAATGCTAATGCCACTCCCCCCCCACGCCTCTCTGTGAGACGTTTGGTTTGATAAAACATAATGGAGGAGATTCAGGTGATCAGGTGGGCGGGTGTGACCTTGGTTGGTGATTGGCTAATTGGTTGCATAACCCAAAAAGCATTGTGACATCACAAAGGGGCCGATCAGCTCATTTTCAGACAGGTTTCTATAAAGATTGATCAGGACAAAAAGAGAGAGAATCTTTTCCGTGAAACTTTCCGAATCTCTTTACACAGAGGGGACACATATTTACGTATAAAAGACATGAATAAGTGGATTTTGCATAATAGGTGACCTTTAAATTGATATATGATTCACAATGATAATACAACTTATACAGTTATTGCATATGCAAATGACAATTGAAAAAAGTGTTTTAGTATCGCGTCATAACATCACTTTCCCCTTTAGTCTTTTGTTGTGGTGAATGTTTTGTTATAACATTGCAATTACATTAACTGTTAACTGCACACGTACATGACATAATAAAATAACACTTAACAATTTGTAAAACATCCCCCTCTTTAATTATCCAGCCTTCAAACAATCTCCTTGACCTCTTACTAGTTAATAGGATTTAAAAACATGGTGGATAGCAGAAGACATCTGAATGAACCACTAAACTCCAGTTAAATCACATTGATCTGTCAATTGTGTTTTCTAATGAGACACGGATTGCCATTACCAACCTGCTACTTCTTGTTATATAAGAAGGTAGAAGGGGGATGATAGTCTTAGCCAATGATTAGAATCTTATATATTATGGACAGCTCATCCTTTGATCGGGTATCTAGGTTAGAAGCATCATTCTTGGTGTACTATATCTCATCCAGCAGTAATGGGCTCCTCATTATCTGATTTTGAGGACTTAATTTGCTGCTCAATACGCTTCAAGTACAGAATATTAAGAATTAGGTTTTTAGAGGGATACGTGGGGATTGCTTATTGGCAATTAGTGCAGCCAATAAAGACCAGATAGCCTTTTAAAACACATTTATTTTTGCTTGGAGGGCACTTGGTTTGTGATAAAAATGTTGGATTATATTCTAAAGGGACAATTGTTTTACGAGCTTGCACGAAAGTATTTTAAGAGAAGATAATTAGCACTCAGAAAGTTTGGAATTACCATGTTTCTCAGGGTGTTACTTTCTGGAATTAATATGTTTTAAATGGATAAACACATGTTATCTTTCAGGGCTAGAAACTGCTTCTCTATTTCGAATTCCTCGTCTTCTAACAGAAAAATTCAGGGGCAAATATTTAGAAAAATAAAGAAATATTCATAAAAATAAACATAATTGCATGGGTGCTCATTGTACTTATAGAACTAGGATAATTCTTCAAATGTAAAACAATTCTAAATGGATAGTAAATGTATGTCTATATCTTGTATTTAGTGGTGTTGAGTAAACATGGGTGTCCTCTCATGCAGACCCAGCTGTCCAAAGAGCAGATTCAGAGTCAATAAGTGAATGATGTCAGGTTATGTCCTGTCTGTGACAATAGAGAGATTGTATTGGATATCTGACGCCTTTTTTTTCAACTAAAACACCCTAAAGAGACACTCCTGTCTCCAGTCTCTTTCTTGACATATCTAGAAATTATAAATACACAAGAAGAGGTCATTTTGTTTAACATAATGTAAAATGAGATACTGACTGGCATTGAGATGATGCCGTTAACAGATCCTGTGGAAAAAAGATTAACAAAAGAATTTCTATATCAAAACACAACACTCAAAGTGGTTTTAAACAATGAGACAGAAAACCTAATCCATAGCTGTTGCTGTCTTCCCTAGAGCTTTGTATTAATCGTGTTTTGCTAAATAACACTGTTCATTTCTGTACAAAGTCCTTGAAAATATTCCTTCAAATCATTAAGAATATTTTAAGTACAAGTCATTTTTTCTAAACATTGTTTTTACATTAAAATTGTATTTTGCTCAATTTGGCATCAAATCCATTTAAATGTTTATCAATTAAATCGTTCTATCTCTACAAAAAGTTTACTTTGAGACTTAATTTTACTGCACGTTCACAAATACTGCTGGAACGTCACAGAAAATACTCTATAAAGACCTAACGGACCAGACAGTCAAAGCAGTTGTTCTTTCTTTTTGTTTTAATAGAGATCATTCTCTTTCAATCCATTATAAAATAGCAATTCAAAACTTTTTTTCAAATTCATATATTTACATATAAACAAGTGGCTGTGCAAAATGTACAAGATATTGGCAAGAAAGTATAACATATTTGTCTTAATTGTCATATCTACTGCAGACTGCATATGAAGTTGTCAACCGATAAACCTACAAATAGCAAACTTAAATATATACAGTAATAAAACACGCTCATATACATTCTCTCATACAATGACAAACATATAAAGACCAAAATAGTATGTGCACTTAAAAATATAAAAAGGTATAAAGTGGGTATGCTTATCTGGTTCATTAGTTTTAGAAAAGTGATCTGTCAAAGTGCAGTCCATCCTCGATTATTCATAAATATAAACATTTTGACAAACAACTCATTGGAAAATGTCTGATTCCCCTAAATGACTGTAATCAATAACATTAATAGCATTAATTTCTACAAACTCAATTATTTAAGATTCACATTTTAACCTATGAGCTACACTGCCAGGATACTTTACATTACTTACAGGCATATTCTTTTCCGATAACACCATACTAGTTTCAATGTATTTTGATCTATTTAGCCATCTAATTACATCATCTTTTTATGGCACAAAAGCAGAATCTAAAATGTGCTGATGGGCAATAATTCACAGTGAACATCCTCCCCAAAGAGATTTCAGTCAGAGCTTAAAGGTAAGTTTGAGAAACCGGCTCGAGATACACTTTTTGTTATATTCCATGGAATGCTCTTAACATCCCGATAGCAATGAATATCTGAAGTGCTTTGACAAATAAAAACCATAAAAAAATGTCATCTGTGGAAGCCGTAGTACTGTAAAAAGCACGACCAATCATTTTAGCCGGCCCAGCTAAAATAACTGGATGGCCTACCTGCCTGTCAGCCTTCCATCTGTGCACAAACTTATCTCGTGCCCTCATTGGTCATGTGCGCGTTCGTGTGTGTTGGAGGAGGGGCTCTGTAAGGAAGTGGCAGATTTTCTCCGGTTGTGTATTTTCAAATTCTAGCGATCTCGAGCCGGTTTCTCAAACTTACCTACCCCACCTTTAACATCACACTCTTCTCTGAAAAGACTATCACCTTTTAAATGACACTAATGAAAGGCAGAACAATTACTTCATAGTTTCCTCATAACAATTTACACAGAGCCAAACTATTTTCAGAATGTAAATCTTTCATTACCTCTCCCGGCTCTTGTATATCAACACATGACAAGCTTGCTACCCATACAATAACATACCAGAAGTGCAGTGCAGAAATACAATTAGCAGTGGATGTTAACATTAATACAAGTTTCAGTTCTTGTAGTTAAATGTTATATCGTCATATGCTGACTGCTGCAAAGTTGGGACAAATCTCAACCAGTACGGTGTGCTCTAGAGATGATTGATAGAAATGTAAAGTATATGTAGTCTTTGTATTAAAAGGTGGTATATTTTGCTTTCAACCACTGTGTTGGGAACTCACTGAAAACATTAGGGCGGGAGTTCAAATACCAACTACCTTTGATTACATCATGCACCAGACATGACAAATCAACTGTCATGTCTGCTTCCAATCAAGCAAAGACGAAACAAAGAGAGCATGCAACAAAACGACAAAGACGAGAGAGAGAGCTGATGGATAGATGAAGTTACTGAAGCTGATCAACACGTTCTAATATGGCTTCGTTTGTTAAGAAGGCAACTGAGCAGATGGCAAGGCTAGTCGAGGTTAGTCTATGTAAAACAATCCACAGGCTGTGATCAAATATAGTATGAATGTGTGATTAATTAAAATCCCTGTTAGGAACTTAAATAAACAGAGAGTCTACGCCAACAGAAAGTTAGCACATTACTGCAGGTTTGTAAATCAGGCTGATAGAACCACTCTACAGAGGATTGCTGCTACAACACGATGCCAGTGTGAAAGACACTGACGCGGTCTCTGCGTCTGAGATGCTGCGTTCAATAAAGACGTGTTTCTTGTGTGCAGCGTGAGGCAGTGTATGACTGGAGTGTAGTTTGGTGCAACTGGTTTTTAAAGAGCTACCCGAGCTGAGAGGCACACTGAAATCAGGGCTGAAGTCAAATATTTGCACCTCTGAAAATACAAAAGCCCTTTGCTTGAAGAGGCTTCTAAAAGACGACGTCTGCTCTTTGTTCCAGATAATTCTCCACCCACACACTGACGACTCTTCATTCAGCAGCGGGATGATCAAAGAAAGAACCGGCTGAGTGGGTCCGATCTGACAAAACAACTCGGCTTCCTTAATGCCACTGAGCGACACTAGTCTTTCAAATGCAGGTGCTATTTGAGGAAGCCTTTATAAAGCAGGTTAGAGCGACTGGTCTCTCTTTCATTCTCCAGACAGAACAGCAGGTCCTTGAGGTTGACTCTGGTAATGCGCTGTCGCATAAACTGTCTGGAGCTCGCTGCACTGGAGCCGCCGGGCTGAGAGGGGCCCGCCCCCGAGCCCTGGGGTCAAAAACAGAGCAAACAGAGAGAGACGTTTATTCTTTTATTCACCTTTTCTTTGTTAATTTGCACAACCCTTTACGCCAATTGGTTCCATATTCCTCACCTCTGCACTGGCTCCTCTAACAGGAGAGTCCATTTTCCGTTTTTTCCTCGGGCCGATAGCTGCCAGCGCCGCTAGGTTGGCTTCTCTCTGTCTGATCTGAGCCAGCTCCTGCTGCTGCATCTGGAATAACAAGCAATAACACACAGATTAGTCTCACAGACAAACACTTAATCATCATAAAGTCACTTATCAAAACGTATTCTTACCTCTTTGGCCTTCTGTTTGAGTCTCAGCTGCTCGGGGTCCTCTTGCCGTGACCGAGACTGCAGCAAGGTGGAGGACATTTTAATATTTCAAGATGAATAAATCCAATTTATTCAATCAAAATTGTTTTATTCATTCACCGGCTCATTGTTAAAAGGTCTGTGCTCTAGGTACTTTAAGCAGCAGAGGAAATAATGACACTGAGCAAAGACAGCTCGCCATGTCTATGCAATAATGAAAGTGTGTAGGAGTCGTCCTGTCGATGGTGTGACCTTTTTTATATGCATCGTTACCTTAGCAGCCTTCAACAGAATCTCCCTCTCCAGCCCTTCCTTCCTTTGCTTCTCCATCTGATCCAGCTGCTCAAAGAATTTAAGTTGGGTTCGCACATCGGTGACCTGCTCGCAGCGCTCTTCCTCCTGAAGGACGAGGAAAGGGAGGTAGAGTGGGTTACATCAGGTAAAACAGGCGAATGAGGCAATGGGTCTCAGCAGCTCTCTAATGACTGTAATTAATACTCACCTTGAAGGTTGTGTTTTTATGCTGCGCCACTTGTGAAACTTTTTCCAGCAGGTGTCTGAGTCGCTGCTGTGCGGCGTAGGAAATGTAGTTTATCACATCTGTCCCCAACTCGCTGACACCGAACTTCTTACCTGTCACAAAAAAAGTTGTGTGAATAAAGAGTCAACCTTTAAAAGCAAGAAAGTGCTGCACATTTTCTCTTTAATTATGTGTCTCACCAATCTCCAGAGCTCTCCGGGTGAGTATCGAGGGGGAGAGAAAGGCCTCATCCTTACAGGACCGAGTCACCGTGCCAACAAGCTCAGAATTGGTTGCTAAGATACGGGCACTCTCCTCCGACAAGTTGACTCCTGCCATCGAGGCCACATCATTGATATCATCGTCATCCCTAGACGAAGTAAAAAAAGTGATGGCTTAGAAACAGCAACACAATTTATACATTTGTAATCTTTTTTTGTCAGTGTACATTTAAATAAAACAACATGAATCATCTTCATGCAGCTGCAGTGACCCTAAACAACTAGAACAATGTAAATACTAATGCAATTTGTCTGTAGAATTTGACTATTTCCATCTGGTCAAATTATTAATTCAGGTCTTTAGGTCCATCGCACGGTTCCAAATCAGAGATATTACATTTACCATCAGAAAAAGTGAAAGAAACAAATGCAAAGAACATATAAATGTATGTGGTTGATTGTAATAAACATTTAGTTTGCAATGTCTGTACCAAATGCCGACATAGTTTTAATGTAGACAAATAATAAAAAAGATTCTGTATATTCTCAAATACTTTTTCGAATGTAAAAGACTGAAACTCCTGAAATCTCTGGACAGTTCACTATTTATTGTCGAGACACTGATGCTGTTTAGATGAAGGAGTCACACACCTGAAGGTTCCCCTTCCTGCTTCCTTGAGCCTCTGAGCAGCACTGAGAGGCGTCTGACTGACCACCTGCCCTGCTCTGACCATGGGAGTAAACGTCTGCCTCACTGCTGGAATCAAAGAGATACAACAGGACATTCAGATGATTATTGATCATAACTGAGAAGATTAAATTACACTTTCTCTTTGAATTGTTAGTGTACCATTTTTGTAATGCTTTTCTTTAGAATAATTTGGCATATTATCAAATGCTTAGCAAACTGCAACTACATACATTATCCACAAGGTGGCAGCATTCCCACATTGTACATAGTCAATTATTGGAAGATCAATACAGAATCAGAATCAGAATCAGAAACGGTTTTATTTCCAGGTAGGTTCACACTTACGAGGAATTTGACTTGATGTCATGGTGCATACATAAAATATAAAACAAAAAATCTAGGAACCAACAGCATGTTTAGTTCCTCTTATAAAAGAAATCAAATATGTGTCAGTAACTGTTGAACACACACCTGTCTGGAGCGGTTTGGCCATCTGCGGCTGGCCCACAATGATCCGGCTATGGGATTGTCCTCTGACTGTTACCATGGGAGACTGAGCCAGCGTCACCTGGGGCCTCACTATCATCTGTTGCTGTGGCACCATCTGCACACATTCACAGATTTAGACATAAATATGCATATGCAGGGCTTTTATTTCTATGTGCATGCCAATGACTGAATTCAGATATAGCAAATGATAAATTACCAGTGCAGGTTTACTGTGAGGAGTCTGAGTGAGGCTGATGACTGTAGTTTTGGCCCCGGCGGTGCTGGTGGCCATGGTGGGGGCCGTGGAGAGGGGGGGTCTCAGCACCACGGCGGTGAGGGCGGTGGAGGCAGCTGCAGGCTGATTGCTGGGCAGAGGCAGCAGGCTCTGATGGATGAAGGCCTCGCAGTCTGGGGTCAGCTGACGCAGCGCTGGGAGGCTCCTCTGCAGGCAGAAAGAGAGGACATGTGATCAGTTTGATAAAGTCATCAACTCCTTTTCATAGAGGGAGATCTGGTACATAAATAAAGTTATTTATTTCTAAGGAACTTAGATTTTGAAAAACTACTCAGGAAACTTCCCCAGGTTGCTAAGCAAGTTGGATCTATTTAGATAATAGTCAAGCTACATTAATGATATGATTCTCTAATAAATAGACAGCACAGCTTGTTCTTGCAAAACAAATGTACTCTCACATCAATGTACATGCAAATCACTCTATTTCCAATGTACTCTTTCTGTTGTCTTTACCTGAAATGTATAACATATTTACCTATGTAACTGCTTCCAACATTTGTATTAAACAATATTGAGTTAACTTTAGCAAAATGCACACAGACAACAAAGTCAATGTGACCCATATGTGGATCACTTTTCTTTGTTTTGACACAAAATGCTCAATTCAATGACCACATCTTTCAAAATTCATGAGCTGTTTAATTATTAACAGAGTAGTCCTTTTCACTTTCCATTCCTAAAAACCATTGAGGAATTATTTTCCTCTTTGAGGTGGAAGGTTTACGAGCAGCAGTCACACGATCTGATGCCCACGATAAAAGCTTGATGTCTAGACATATCTGCAGGAGATTGCCAGAGATGGATTCGGTGAGGAATAAAATACATTCCCCCAGGTTCAATAAATAAGATAATATAAGATGTGATGGAAATAAAAACTTAGGGCAGAATGCAGAATAAAGGTTTGACCAACACTGTTCTTTTAAAAAATATATATAAATGTTATAAACATTGGACTTGGAATTACTCAATGGAAAGGCTATATTAACTTCTGCCATAGTGTAAGAAAGCTAACATCATGCAACTAAGAGATGCCTTCTTTTTGTTAGAGTTGAATGTTTGTTGACACTACAATAATTGATCCTGAGATTTGTTTGACTTCATAAATGCATTTTTAATGCAATCTAAACAAGGTTGCCTGCATGTTGGGAAAGAGAACTGCCTGAACAGTGAAGTGAACTGGGTACAACAATCTTATTCTAACAGAGTTTGGCGTCAGACAGGGAAGAATGTCTGTGAATCTCACCGTCTCTGTGGGCATACCTTCAGTATTGTGTGCACAACACCGACTCAAGTACTCGACACTCAGACCTCTCGTGTATTAAGAGAAAAGACCATTTTTAATTTCGGTTATTGGAACATTTGCATTCCTTCTAGCATTTCAGAAGGGCTTTAGAAACAGTCTGAGCATCTTAGTGTTATACAACTTTAACACACAAACCTTGTGTTTGCTGCAGGAGGTTATTTCATGGTCAATACTGTGCACACAAAACCTCTTTCTGAAACTTCAGTAACATGCACAGCACTATTAAACGACTAAAGACGGGTTGACTTTCATTTTGTTAAAAGGTTTTAGCACCAGTGTTTTACACTGGAGGAGAATAAGTGTTTTTTTTACAGGATATAATGATATGGTCATCTCATCATATGTAAATCAAAAACATACAATCTAAAAAGATGCTAATGTAATGTATTACTGACATTAAGGGTAGTTTTTAGTTTGGACAGCTTGAAGTCTGAAATGACTGCAACAGTATTGAAGTAAAGCTTTATTCATTTATTGAAAACCATAAAAGCTGTAACATGCATCATTAAGTGTCACTGCTCTCACCTTCAGGAAAGGCACAAGGTACGGCTGAGGCGAGGAGTTGAGCTCCCGGTACAACCTACTGGTGAAATCTTCAGGCTCCATCTTCCCTTCCTGTGGAGCAACAAACACAGAGAATGGATGAGGAGAAAAAAACACAAGAAAGACTGAAGAAAGTCCAATGAAGGCAAAAGGCTGATGGTATGGAGAGATGAAACTTGTAAGAGAGAGGGGAAGGAAAATAATAAAAACAGAAGAGCAGGGAAATGTACCAGTAAGTTCTTGACCAGCTCCTTCACGTTGGCCGAAGTCTCAGAAGACTGTTTTTCGCTAGAGGCCAACTTGATCAGCGTGGACAGAAAGTTTCTACACTTCTTTACATTCTCCAGGGTCTCCTGCAAACACATACACACAAATAGCATGTATTTTTTAAATATGCACATCAGACGTGAAAATGTGAAACAGAACACAAAAATACCCATCTGTATATATTTAGTTGTATAAGATAACAAAGACAAGAGCATTCAAGGTTAGTACTTCTCTCTTACAGCTGAGATAGCTGTTGGAGGGACAGGGGTCCCATTCCCCCTCTGTGTAACTGCACATCCAGGCTGCACCGGGGTGGGGGCTCCTATCGGCTGTCCCGTGGAGGCAGACGTTCCTCCCAGCATGATGGTGTTCTATATGAGTCAGGGAATATCCAGTCATAAGATGAAAGTGACAAGGTCAGAGTAACAGCTCTGAAATGTCTGGTCCCGGGGGACAGTACATCCAACTACAATGAGATGTCATTTTTTGCCCCAAGCTTCAGTTTTCCAGGAAAAGGTTTTGATAGATATTGTATATTTGCTACCACATAATAACTCATTGTTATTCATGCACTTTGTGTACAACATAAACTCTTTGGGAGCTTAGCAATTCTCTTATTCCACTCCTAAATTACAATAGAAAAACATGAGGTGCAAAACAGAGATTACACCTGTTAATGAGAGTTCAGCGAAATGTATTAACCTTCAGGGAAAATGTCATGGCAACCTGAACAACTATAAATCCAAAAAAGATGAGACAACCAGCAAGGTTTTTAATTGAATGAACAAAAGGGCTTTTCAAAGAAAATACAAAAATGAATACAATTATGCTTGACTTATTGTAAAGAACATATTATAATATTTGTAGTGAAAAGGGAGTTATTGTTCACAGGAGGAGCAGAGATAGAGAGGCAGGTAAGAACTCTGTCTATATGCCTGAGCAGCTGGTTGGAAAAGTTGTTCACACTGTCTAACATATTTTATGTTTGTGGCTTAATGAACTGAAAGTGACAGTCCCTGAAGAGTAATACGCGGCCAATAAAAGCATGGTCTATACGAGGGGTGTCCAGAAGTATAATGGAATGCGGCCCACAAATGAAACTTGAGCTTGTATTGTACTTCTTAAATATATCTGTAAACATATGTTACACAGTAGTGTTCATGTGTTAATAAGCCCACTTTCAGTCAATTGAAGTTGAAAATATGTTCTAACAAATCTAAGTTGATAAGAAAAAAGCCCAATAACTTATTTAAATAACAACCTTGAAATATACCCTTCCTATTTCCTCTTATGATAAGCAATCTAAGGCTTCTGTTTTAAGGAATGAGCTGCTAACTAAATAAATGAAACCCTACGGAAAGCTGTGATGTAGGCTGTTGTATCAAGCATAATTTACTTACATTTGATTGATTTTGCTAACTCATAACTTCACTTATGAGGCAATAAACCTCACCTCTAGTCAGTGGCCCAGCCCTTCAAATATGTGTCTGTATGTGGCCCTCTGTGAAAAAAGTTTGGACAGCCCTGGTCTATACAGAGCAAATATTCTGCTTTAACTTGGTTGTCTAAAAGTCACAGACTCTTCTGTGCACACAAACCAGGATGGCTATAATGGAACTAGGTAACAATTATTTTCGGTGAATGACCGTCCCAGATTAATCTGAAAACATTTAATGCAAAGGATGTGAGGTCTAAAATGGATGTGTATTGTAGTTACCTGCAGTACTGGAGGCCTCTGCAGTGTGGTGGAGGCTGCTACAGTTGTCTGGACTGTGGTACCCTGTTTAATGATGGTGGTGGGGGGGACAGGACGAGGCAGCAGGGACGCGCCCGGAGCCTGCAGAACCGCAGTGGATACAGAAGGAGGTGTTACACACATGAACCTATGCAAATGGGTCAGTCTAGGGCTGGGCAATATGATCATTTATATAGTCATAACGATAAAGAATGACTATCAGAAATATGTTTCTATATCATTTCTTCCATATAAGTTATGCCTATATTTATTTATTTGGATAATTTTGCTATAAAGTTTCTGAAATAAGAGGTATACAGTAGAAAGAAAAAAAATAGGCATAACTAGTTGATACTGTACATACAGAAAATATCAACCAAATCTTACAAGTCTGATTAATTGAATACCTTATTCATGTAAAAACTGATCCAGAATCTCAGATCCATGCCTCACTATCTAACATGAATGAGTCACATTTTCTGTGTGTCCCTGTGTCCAGCTGTCCCGGTACCTGAAGAGAAGTGATCTGGACAGGCGGAGTGCTGGAGGGGGCTGCAGGTCGGGGGGTCATGGCGCTTTGGGACTGCGTCTGAGCCTGCATCTGAGCCAAGGTCTGCTGGTGAATCACCAGCAGCTGCCCACTCTCACTGCGGACCAAAACCATACCTGCAACAGGAAAATGATGTCACGGCTTTGCTGTCCTGATCACTGTCATTCATATACTGCATGCATTCATGGCGTTTCTGACATGAGGGGGTATGAATTAATGTTTTAGTAGGATGTTGATACACAAATATTGCTTTAGATGGAAGTGCTATGTTCAGAGATTTCTAGTCAACAAGTGACCAATCAGACACAAATTTGCCACAAACATGGTGCCATGAATCAAAAGGGTTTCAAGTCGCAACATAATGTTATTAGATATTGTTTCCACAGAATAACAATGTAAAATGTGTTTATACTTTAATGTAGGTCAGTGCTCCATGCAGTGGAGCCTGGTTTTGTATTTTCTCTATCAAACAGGTGACTGTTTGTTGCTGTGACAAGTTACTGTGTAGCACCAAGTTACAGATAGGCCACACAGGAGAATTAAGATGCGAACACAAAAAGTGTTTGTGCTGAAATGTAGGTAGGTAAGTGTTATTAAATGTAGTCAATACAATGATGTTGTTAAAGTTTAACCCTGTATTGTTGTAGCTTATTTAGGTCTGACCATTCAGTCTGATGTTGGGATACCTCTAAATAAAGGACTCCCAAGCAGAGCTATGTACATGCATTACTATAACTGTAAATTGTGGTCAGAGATAAACACAATTAACCCTTTGCAAACTTTTTGAGACACACAAAAAGGACATATATATTGTTAGTGTTGGTATGAGAACAGTTAGCCTCTCTGACAAGACAAAGTAAAAATAACAATATATTGCAGCGGTCTGATAAACTACAGAAGTAGATCAGCTGTCCACAAGGCCTTTTGTTTGTTCTGAAGTGAGTACCTTGTCCACTTCTTATCTGTGGTTTTTGGCCCTAAAAGATAATGTCTCAAACCATTTCTAGAGCAGAAAGGTCAACCAATAAAACAAAGTTATGTTTGGAAGCAACAAGTTTCTGACAAAGTTATTGAGGCCTGACATAGCCTAAATAGACAACACTAAACATCTAATATGTTAGACAAACCTTCAAGATGCTCTTACACTCTAAAGTTACCTGGAGGGAGCTGGATGTTTTGGATATTTGGAGTGTTTTGTTGGGGCTGGGTGAGTCGTGGGGCCAACACCTGTGGAGCAATAGCTCGTATTCCAGCAGGAGGAGTGGCAGCGATTGTTGAAGGTACTGAAGTCCTCACATTTTGCAAAACAGTCGGACTCCTCATGGTGGCTGGTGTCCCTGTCGCAACAGCCTGCATTATAGTTTGTGTGGAGTCGAATTTGTTGATAAGCGAGCCGGTCGTGCTAGTGGGTGATGTTAACACGGTGTGAGACGGGTTAGTGGGAGTTTGCATAGGTGGCCTCAGAAGCGTGACAGTGGGTACACTTTTTACTGATGGCTGAGACGAAATCACAACATGCTGCGCACTCGTCGAAGAAGTTCGTATTATATTATTTGCAGACAAAACTGTTGCGCCTTCTCTACTCGCAGAAACAGGTCCATTGTTTACAAGTGTGACAGCTGACTGTGAGGTTTTGCTGCCACGGCCTCCGGTGACATTACAGTTCATCAACACAGCACTTCCATTCAGAGTTTGCACAGCAGTAGTTGCAGGTTTATCCACACCAGATGTTGCACCCGATACCACCGTAACGACTCCGCTAGCTGTCCCCGGTTTAGGCTGAGTCTGAGCGGCTGTCATACTCAATGTGTTCCCGGCGGCTCCATCCATACTTGAACCCGGGGACCCCGTACTGCTAATGACACCTCCTTGCACTCCTGTCCCTACAGCAGCGGAAACACACAACAAAACAATGTGGGTGTCGAACAACTCTCCAATTCGCATTAGTTTCAGGATACACGCAAGTAAAGCTAAAATCAGTGGCACAACGTGAGCAAAATACGCCAATGTTAGCTAACCGGAGTGTGCAGCTTACCTGTCTTACCTGCTTTAGCGAGCTCTTGTTGTGAAAGTCCCATTTTGCTGCACTGAACATTGGAATGACTAATTACAGCTGAGTTTCCGAGGTGATTTGCTGCAAACTGAACCCTGATCGTTGTGTTGGTGGGCCCTGCTCCAGTTAGTTCAGACTCCAGAGATCCCACTACATCACTTACTACTTTTTCGTCCACCTCTGTGTTGAAGAAAACATCATCAAGCAAATCGGAGCCCGCCGCCATCTTTGCCCAGTCGCGCTTGCTCGTGAGACGCATGCGCCGATTGGATGCAACCTCAGTGACGCGGCCTCGCCGGGCGCTGTGATTGGTCCTTCGGATCGAATATAAAGAGTCGAGACAAATGGTTGCGAGTCGCAGTGTAGACTTCCAACGATACTGGAAATTAATTATACAGTACATAGCGCAACCCCTAGTGGGACACATCGAGGAGTTATCTGGGTGTGTGTTTATGTTGTACAACCTGTCTCTGCAGATTCATACACAATAAAGAATGTTTTTCTATCTATTTGACTATCGTAGACGACTCAAAATGGCTGCGTTGTTGCTGTATTTTCAAAGAGACATTACAGCTGCTGCAGGGGGGCACAGATCATCAACCATCACTTTCTTTACATAGCTGTAAAGCAGCATTGTGATCTATTGTTTGTAGTAAGTTGTTCTAATAATACAAATAATAAAGGTTCTTCTTTATTGCAGGCGGTAACATAGGCCTACATTTACACGTGCTTACATTTAACGTGGTGCATAGTTTCTTTCCATGTTTATATATTTTACATTGAAAAACAAATAATAGTTAAGTAGAGAAACAAAAATAAAGGAAAATAAGAATAAAACACGGCAGAGTTGATAATAAAATGAATAAACAATACAATGTTAAATGTTAAAACAACGTTTTTTGTCAGAACAAAATATCACACACACACCTATACTTCTGTATCAATGTAAATGTTTCCATCTGTTGGACGAATAAAATCATTCTGATTTCAAATAAATGTAACACATAATAATGATTGTCAATAATGCTAATTGTTAGACATCATGATTCATGGGTCATAAATGAAAAGTTGCATGGGGAATTAGTAGGCGTCTCATCAGGTGCATGTAAACCTCAATCAGTGGGCGTGGTTTCAAGTCACCTGGGCAAGATTATAAATCGTTTCGGGTCGCTCCATGGCTCGAATGTTGCCACATGTGTTCTTGTTGAAAATTATAAGCAATTGTTCTGGACATTCTCCTGCCATGAGTTCATCAAAGCCCTACATTGGTTGTAAAATAGGGTTAATTTCGAAAGCCCAAAATCGTTATGAGGGGATTTTGTATACAATTGATAAAGTGAACTCTACAATAGTGCTGGCTAAAGGTGAGTAGTGTGGGCTTATGCTTGATGGCCTGCCTGTATATCTAAAAGCATGTTTTTTAAGAGCACACTTTAAACATGGATGACACTTGGCTTATTTAAACATTTTTCTCTGAACTAGTCAAGTGTTTTGGAACTGAGGGACGACCCACAGACCGACCAACTCACCCCAAAGATGATGTCTATGAGTACATCACTTTCCGCGGAAGTGATATTAAGGACATCACACTGTGTGAAGCTCCAAGATCTCACCACCACGGCCTACCCCCGGATCCTGCAATAGTACAGGTTAACAAAAACAGCATGCTCACACCCCACAGTATATGACCTACACTTATACCTAGATGCATATCTTCTGTGTTGACATTTTTCAAACTTCTTTCTTAAGTCTTCTGGTGGAGGCCCTTCAAACATCTACTCACCTCTTGGACCATTTAGCCCCTTACGGATGCCAGCCTACAACCAGCTTGCTGCCAGCTCTCTGCTTAATCAACAATATGCTACAGCTCTTGGCCTTGGTAATTCAATGAATTCACATGTACTGCTAATGGACCAACACAAACCCACACCCTCAGTGCCTCTGAATAGTTTTAGGTTGTTTCATATTTCAGTAATTGTGTTTTTCATGCAGGGCTTCCAGGCTTACATGTTAGAAGGGGCCCCATGGTGGAAAAGTCTGTTCAAACCCTCCAAGTGGATAGAACTAGGCAGAGGGGAGACTTCTCTGTATCCCAGGAGCGGGAGCAGCAGTGGGAAAGAAGGCCTCAGAAACCCAGAGGAGAGATTCCACAGACCAGAAGGGCCACTGGAGCCAACAGTAAGCATACATTGCATTAATGAAAGGCAAAAGTAGCCTCAATACCATATTCACTTATTTACACAAAAGTGAAGAGCTTTGCTTGATTAACAGTGTCAAAAGGTTTTACAAATGTTGGGAAATGTCAATCTGTGCATTTACCAGCAAGTGAGTGTAATTGTTTTTACATTTTAGTGAAGTCAGGCCCAGGTGTGCCCAATGCTCAGCAGGAAACTCGGCAACAGAATGATGAAAACAGGCCAACACCCAGCCGAAAACAAGGTAATGGTAAAATGTACAGGTTTATAAGACAAATGACCAAGTCCTAACTTTCAATGCATTTCAAAATATAATAATCCTATAGGACCTCGGAGGCGCAGAGTCCGTAGTAGAGGCCAGCTGATTGTGGCTAATGTTCCATCTGCAGTCCTGAAGTTTGACACAGACTTTGATTTTGATTTATCAAACGCGCAGTTTGTAAAGGAGGGGCTGGAGAGGGAGGTGCACGGGACGAAAGGTCTGCATTTTCATCTTCTGCTTTTTTTGACATTTCTTTTTTAAATGTCCACAGGTTGTTAAAACCTTACACTTTTCCATGACAAAGTTATTTAGACACTGTGTTGCATGCAAGCTCTAAATCATACCAACTGTAGTTAGGCTCAGCAGCTGTAAGACAGATGGATTTTGGCACCAGGATTCGGTTACTAAGTGGCAGTGATGAGTGACATTATTTATCTTTTGTTTTTGGCTTTCCAAAATCTGTTCAAGGATTCTGTTTTCATTTCTGAACAGGTCAATGCATTAACAAGTGGTGCATCAAAAGCCAGATTTGATACATCTCAGTGTATGATTATATTATCTTGCGTAGGACCTGTAAGGTGTGAAGATGAGCATGTGTGTTTTTAAAATCAGTGAATGTCCCTATAGAAACACCGAACAAGTTGGTCTGCTGTATCATGTTTCCAATTACTAGCAGTGCATGTTTCTGTCTGCAGATGAAAATCCTAAAGGAGAGGAGAAGGGAAAAGAACAATTGCTCTCAAAAGCAGAGGATGATCTTTTTGGACCAAAATGCTACTACAACAAAGCAAAGTGCTTCTTTGACAACATCTCGTCCGACACAAAGTTCAGGTACTGGTTGCTTTTCTATCCTTAACATTCAACAACAGTTTCTCCATTATGTGACGCTACAGCTTTGCCTCTTTTTGTGTTAGACAAACATGGGCGGAGGAGCGGAAGCGCAACATGGAGACTTTTGGTGTCCCTGGACGGTTCTTGAGGTGCCAAGGCTTCAGAGGTGGCTATAGTGGACGAAGAGGACGGGGCACTGCTCAGACTCAGTCTTCTTACAGAACCAGGAGTGGTCAGCTGTAAAGGTCAGAGTTTGACACTAAAGCAACCCCATGCTATAGGGATGGCTTCCTCTCGCATAAAATCGGACTTGTCTGTTCGAAGAAGGATCTATTTTCGTTTTTTTTTTCCCCTGAGGCCCTTATGCCCCCATAACGCCAGTATTTTATTTATGCCCTTTGGCCACTTTTGCATATATGCATGGCTCACTAAATGGTCCACCTTGTTTGACAATAGTTCTTCCCCTCAGAATGTTTGTTTGAGTATTTCCCCCTTCAATTAAATGAGAGCGTTTAAGTTTGTTTTGTTTTCTACTTGGAAGAATTTCACTCCCAAACGTGTTTTGGTTTCATGTTTAAAAAGGGATCTGGCTTTGCTTCTTGGGAGAAGGCAACATTTATTTAATTAAAAAATATTGTATACTATAGATATAAACACGATTAACTAAACTTGAATGAATTTCACATCTAAATCATTGTTTTGTTCTGTAATATTGAAGCAACAAGTGAGACTAATGTAAATAAAATGGAAGTTGCTGATTCACTCGTCTTGTGCTCTGAGGATGCATACATTATATTGTAATGAGCTTTAAATGTGTGTACCTTTTGGTTGGACAATCCTAATACACAGTTCTGGAATTTAACTAAAAGTAACTTTATATATTTTTATTTTTGTATTTGCAACTACATTTCAGGCAAATATTTTACTTTCTACTCTATATTTATCTGACTGCTTAAGTTTTTCTCAGATTACATTTTTCTCTTTTGAAACGATGTATTCCAAATGTGGAGATCTGGAAAGTTTCTGCTTATATTAAGGTTGAACCTTTCCGTTATGGGTTGAAAAAGACTTTAGATAAATGGACTATTTAAAAACCGTCTTGTTGCTTGTTCACAAAGCTGCAATCATACATTTCTGCACATTAATTTATTTTTGTTAAAGCTGCTTTTCACAGGACTCTATTTCATATTAGGATTAAATTGTGCAATGCCGATTAAACTCAACCACCCAACAGTGGGTTACAAAAAGTAACCTAATAAAAAAGGCCACCAACTTAATACCCACAGGCGCACACTTGCATGCAACATTGACATTGTCACAGTAACACCAAAACAATCTTTGGCGTATGCCTCACGGTAAAAATAATTTCGGGGAAAAATGTTCTGCACAATTAGCTTTGAATTTTCTGGTGGATTTAGCTGATATTTGCATGTGTTTCCTTTTGGGTTTAAATGGAACTGCAAATACTTATCGACTATTAAATTGATCATTGTGCTAGGAGACGGAATGCTCTGCAGATGTCAGGTGCATGCTGATATTGCAACAAATATGAACATGAGACTTTGGTAATAAGATGTCTTGTTCACACAGAGGTGCTTAAAACAACTTCTGCAATCACTCTTCTCGACCGAAGCTTTTGAGCATCGAGCAGTGTGTACAATGAGGACTGATTGGCTGTCATGAATCGGAGGATACTCCGTCTACAGTGAGGGAAAGTGGTAGGCTACTCACTGTCCGGGTTATACCAAAAACTGAGGGAGGGGGATGTTCCAGTATCACGTATCAATTTATTATCTGTATCATTTTTTGATTGCAAACTATACATAGCTGTCAGTAAAATCGTGTGTCGAATTACATTCGGAGAAATCCACTGTTTTCTTATTTTCCTCCCTTCATGACAGAGATGTGTTGTCAATATACCCCCATTTCCTGGTGGTAATGGACAAACTATGTACCCAAATAGAGGGCTGCGCTCAAGATAATAAATATTAGAATAAAAGAAGCGCTTTTATTTTCCATATGACAAAATGTCGGTGGCGTTTTCCTCGGCGCGCCCCAGGAGTAAAGGGGAGGTGACACAGCAAACGATTCAAAAGGTAAACCTCTTTAGGTGCGTCGTGGCGCCTGTGATAACATATTCTAGTCTGGATGGGAGGTTGCGGTCCGCCAGTGCAGAGAAAGTAGCCTGTAGTGAATATCTGAAGAAATGGCAACTGGTATTGTAACGTGACAGTCAATTGAAGGTGCGTACCTATAACAAAGACACGGTGCTGATGTAGGCGATCGCTTATATGCACTGGAGCTGATTCAGTGTGATGCTGTCAATCTCTGCTTTTTTTTCCTGACAAATGACCAAAATGTTTTACTTTTATCATAAATCATCAGCTTCAAATGGTGTTACTTGTTTCTAATAATTTTAAAGCACAACACCTGATCAAGGTAGCCTACTAGTTATGGGTGCCCGTTTATTGTCAGACAGCGTGGCGAAAGGTTGAACTGTTTTTATGGACCCCTGCTTTGTTGCAAAATATAACAATCAGCTGGAAATAGGCATTGTATGATGAAAACCGAGCTACATTAGACAAACATGAGCCATATAGCCTCCTGAGACTGCTGCTGCTGCTTTTATAGGCTACCTGACTGAAGCCTTTTTTGTAAAAGTGCACAACCAATCTTCAACACAGGGACTTTCAAACAATGTCCTAAAAAAAGACTGTGAGGAAGTGCTTCCATATTTGGCCCCATTATGAGTAAAAATGTAAAAACTGACCCAGAAAGAAGGCTTGTTGAAGTTAGGCCATCTTTCAGTGTATAATTTGCCATACATTGTGACTTTTACTGTCAGCTGAAGTTGTTTTGTCTCCTGAAGATGCTGGATGAAAACAATCATTTAATACAATGCATAATGGATTACCAAAGCAAAGGCAAGACAGCTGAATGCACACAGTGAGTGTTCTTTTTTTACTCCTGATTGATGCTGTATAATTGTAATACAAGTCAGTAAATAAAGCTATGTTTTGTTTTCCAATTTGACAGGTATCAGCAGATCCTGCACAGAAATCTGGTTTATTTGGCCACAATAGCAGATTCGAATCAGAACATGCAGACACTACTACCTGCAGTGAGTCCTCCAAGAGGAAGTAACAGTATATTTTCCCATCTCCATCAGATTGATTATGCTTTTACCATCCATCACATATTCTCAATTTTTCAAATATCAATAATAAATGAATATGTGATCATGCATTTGTGGGTAGACAATCCATGCATGTTCATGCAATTTGTCCACTGATAATGATTTATAACAAAATGATATATTTAGTAGACAAGAGTTTATATAAAATAAGGCATAATGAAATTAAGGACATCAATTAGGAAAAATAATTTTCTCAAGGGGAAAAAAAATGGAGCATTCTTTTTTTATTTCTAGCCTCCCGCTACCAATATGTCTTTGGTCTCTGGAGGGATGGGCCAAAGTGTGGGACATGCTCCAAGCAACCTCAATGACAACATGGCATCGGGACCTCCCCCCACATCAATGATGCAGAGTCAAATGAGCAATGGTGAGATTTTTCGACACAAACCCACACTTGGTTTGCACACCTTCTCTTTCATCGTGTTCCCCCCTCTTTCATGGTTGTTTGATCCTGAATTGGCTGCATGTTTGTCTGCAGATTTTGTCCGTCACAGTGTTGCTTGTCGTTGTTGCCTGCAAATATTTGATGATGTTATGTGCATCTCATGGTCTGACAGTCAGATTTATTTGCAGCTTTTGCAACTTTTTTTCTTCTTTTTGTGACCAATACATTTTAAAATAAATCAGTAATCCTTAAAAGATTCCTGTAAAGATGAACTGAATGTGGGCCCGTGGTTAACACGATACGGCCCCGCATGGGAATGTGCTGGCTGCTCTGACTGTGCGTGTGTGTCGTCAGGCCCCAGCCATGCCCCCATGCAGCAGTCGGCCATTCCCTCCGCATCCCTCAGCCAGCCAGCCAGCAGCTACGGTAGCTCGGCCCCAACCTCTGGTTACAGCCACTCTGCGCCCTCTTCCCAGGGCAGCATGATCCAGGGTCCTGGGTCTGGCTATGGCTCTTCTTCCTCTTCTTCCTCCACACCCTCAGCCTCCTCTTCCTCCTCCCGCAGCAACCTCAACTTGCAGTCTAACCAAGGTGAGCCAGGTATAGTGCAGCCTTATCAGGAGATTTGGTGTATTTCTATGGGAAGAGGGCTACAGTAGGTTAGGTTAATACATTCAGGCTTAGGATTTGAACACTCAAAAACACTTAAGACTTGATTATCATTAACTTTATAGTTATGGTGCAAGAAGTCCCATTAGTTATTGTTTTTTATCATTAGGTATGTTCGAAAATGTAGCACTCAGATAAAAGGGATTGCTGAAAGTAATGCCTTCCAAGTGTTCAGAGTGAGGAGTGAGTGGGATGATTTCTAAACTACCTCTAAATGTATTCATGACAAACGCACATTGATCTTGCCAAAACATTAAATTGTTTATATGTTTATCTGCGCTCATCAATCTGCAAATTCTCTCCTAGTTTATCTATACCATCAAAATAGGCAAACACATTCAGTTCATCAAAGAGGTTTTCTGCCTTCTTCCTTCTGCTTTTACCCTGCCAATCTCCAACTCCTGACCCTGAGATACAGCCCTCCTCTCCCTGGATGTCTGTGTGGATATTTATGTTTATGCACTGACTTCACTAACTTTGTTTGCATTGCCTACTTCTGAGCCGCATCTTGAAAGCATCTCTTCAAAGAATGTTGTTCTTTAAGAGACCCCTGACTGCTTTAGACTGTTTTTGGCTTTTCCCTTTGCTCTTATTGACATGGAACTTCTTCTACATTTGTTCATTTGTGTAATCATGCACATTTCTGCCAATGCTGTTAAATGCTCATGCAGGTATATTCCTTGAATGTGTCTGTGCATATTAATGTATCAGATCTCCCCCCATAATCACACCTCCTTCACAGTCTCCATGATGCAGCAACAGTCTGCCACTCCACACTACTCCTCAGCCCAGGCTGGGGGCCAACACTATCAGGGACAGCAGGCCATGGGTATGATGGGTCAGAGCAGTCAAGGAAACAGTATGATGTCTCAGAGACCAATGGGATCCTACCGTTCTTCACAGCAAGGTAGGTGGTAAGACTTCCTCTTGCCAGTTTGACATGGAAATTGGTTAGTTTGAGTGCTTAAAGACATATAGATGGATGTGTGACTGTACTTTGGGATAGTTAGGACTGAAATTGTCAACAGGTTTCCATTAAGTGAGGCTCTAGATGCCAGTCTCATTGTGTCTAGTTGGAAATGCTGATTTTGTTGTATACAGATGTATTAGTGTGTGCATGGTAGTAGTTTTTTCCTTCAAAGATATGATATTGAAGGTCTTCAAATAGGGTTATCCCAGTTGCCTTCCTTCAACTTTAAGAAGCCTACAGGAGATGTGATTTGTGTCACATTAAAGGTAAGAATGGAGAAACCTATGGGCTCAGAACAGTCTCATAATACACACATGCACACAGAAGGATTCACACTTGTATTTCATGATCCGCAAAAGGATTCACACTTGTATTTCCGGATCCGCACTTGTGTTTTTCAATGCACACACAAATGTGTTCCGTTTCATATACATGTAAATAAAATACAGAAAAAAGTTTTACATATGTATTTTTGATCCTCACATATTTGTTTTCCGTTTAAATCCCCTGAACCTGCAAACACAAACCTCTTTCTGTGCATGGATCGCTGTGCATTCGTGTGTGGGTTTTTTGAGACTCCCCTGACGGTCACCCGATTCGTACTTGTAATTTTTTCTATCTATAGCCAATCAGATGTCTCCTCAATTCTAAGCCAATCACATGAGGGTAGATTTCTTGCGTTCATGTCACTTCATATACGCATTTTGCGCTGTCCGGAGCAGGGTTTCCGCGGACAGAATTTAATTTTACCGGACAAATTTGAAACTTACCGATCATGTTTCAATAATAATAATAATAAGAATAAGAATTGTGTAGCAGCGTTTCCGTTAGCAGGTAATTACCGGACTATGACCGGATAATAACACGGGAGTAAGGATCATCTCTTTTTCTCTCTCCCTCCCTCTCTCCTGACAGCCCGTCAGTTTCTCATGCAGCTCGCTAAAACTTCACTCGCGTTTATGTCCATATCGATCAGATCCAGCTCTCCTGATCGGCCTTTATAGAGAGCACCGATCAAACTATTAAGAGTGAATATCGGCCGATAATGACCGGCGGGTCCCCGTTGACAGTTCACTGTCTAGCACTGGCTTCGTAGTGCACTGATCGATTAGGCTAAGCTAACCTGTAGCTGCTCCCTCCACACTCACAACAACTTCATACAGACATAAATAAAGCAGCTGTATTCGCCATACAGGAAACACACATTTAAAACAGTTTTGCCTGCCGTTTTTGTGTACACAAGCATTCATTAATGGTTCGGAAAGTGGCACTGTACCTTAATAATATAAAGGCTTGTATTTGCGTGCATTTCCTGTTCGGAAAGTGGCAATGTACTGAGAGTGGAGGTGTCCTGAGATTAGCGCCTGCAGGCTCCATGGACCTGTCAGCTCCGGACAGCGCAAAATGCGTACATGAAGCGCTACGTCATGAACGCAAGAAATCTACCCTCGTGGGGGCGCGCTCATGTGATTGGCTTAGAATTGAGGAGACATCTGATTGGCTATAGATAGAAAAAATTACAAGTACGAATCGGGTCACCGTCAGGGGAGTCTCAAAAAACCCACACACGAATGCACAGCGATCCATGCACAGAAAGCGGTTTGTGTTTGCAGGTGCAGCGGTTTTAAACGGAAAACAAATATGTGAGGATCAAAAATACATATGTAAAACTTTTTTCTGTATTTGGATTTTATTTACATGTATATGAAACGGAACACATTTGTGTGTGCATTGAAAAACACAAGTGTGGATCCGGAAATACAAGTGTGAATCCTTTTGCGGATCATGAAATACAAGTGTGAATCCTTATGTGTGCATGTGTGTATTATGAGACTGTTCTGAGCCCATAGAAACCAGCTCGAGTGCGCTAGAATTTGAAACTACGCAGCCGAAAAAAATCTGCTCCTTCCTTCAGACTTCCTTACAGAGCCCCTCCTCCAACACACTCGAACGCGCACATGACCAATGAGGGCACGAGATAAGTTTGTGCCCCGATGGAAGGCTGACAGGCAGGTAGGCCATCCAGTTATTTTAGCCGGGCCGGCTAAAATAATTGGTCGTGCTTTTTACCGCGCCACGGCTTCCACAGATGACATTTTGTAATGTATTTATTGTCAAAGCATTTAATGTATTCATTGCTATCGGGATGTTAAGAGCATTCCATGGAATATAACAAAAAGTGTTTCTGAAGTGAATTACCTACCCCACCTTTAAGTTCCTGTGAATCACTTAACTTTTGCTGCGTCAGCATGTGTCTAATAATAGCTCCACCCTGTTCTGTTATGTCTTTTGAAGGGTGTAGACTTGGCACATAGTAACTGAGATGCTATAAAAAGGATGTGATACTGTTTCCAGGGCAACGACCATGATAGATTGTCCTCATTCACCCTGGTACATTATCCTTGCATGACTGGGGGAAGAGTTTTCAGAGAGAACTTTGTTATGGAGTTGGGGTCTCCATAGTTTAGCTGCTTGGTTGTGGTGGCGTTGCCAGGGCCATTCTGTCATCTCTGGGCTCTGGGTCACATCTGGAATTATTTTTACTATAGAAATTGTTAGTTGTTTTACAACTCATCACTGTATTTGGAAACATTTCGGCCAGTTGTGGTTTTCAAGGCATTTATCTTGTCCGTGGTTCTGATGCATCTTCAAGAGGGTTTTTGTTAGGTTGGTTTTTCTGACTTTGTTCGATGAAATTGAAAAGGAAAAGGAAAGATTGGAATCTGGAGTTTCTGCACACCACCACCAAGCAGAGATCAGATTCTCCCTGTGAACTGCCTTTCTCTAATCCTCATTTTCTCCTCTTAAATTACATATCATTTAAATTTGTCATGGAATTATTCATTGTAATCTCTCCCCTCTTTAATTATTGCCTCCTAAGATTGGGTTGGCACGTTATAGCTTCTTTCGTTTAAGAAACCACTGATAATAACCATTATCCTGCAGTACATAGAGTGTATGGTCATATTAATTCCCTTGATTTTGATCTACCCATAATAGCCTCATGACTAAAGTATTTCCAAGAAAGCTGGCCATAATGTCTGTTATGATCTTAAGTTATTCTTAATTCGCAGAGAACTTAAGTGCTTAAACTCAGCACCCAATTGGTCCAGCCGGCTGTTTAACAAATCGTGGTGTCGCCTGTCTTGCAGGACCTGCACGGCAGTACATGGGACAAGAAGAGTTCTACGGAGAGCTGTATGGACACACTCAGAGCTCCAGCAAGCCCATAAACCGGCAATATTACCCTGATGGTAATCGTGCACATCCATAAACTTCATACACACAGCTTTCAAATACACAAAGCCACATTGTAGTTCAAGCACTTATCTACATACCTGAGCCAGATTTACTGCAGTGCTGGTGCTTCAGCGCGTCCTCTCAGTCACAGTCTTTACCCTTGCTTTGGGAGTTGGAAAGTATTGCAAAAAAATGCAAAAGCCTGACATTGGTCTCAAATCTGTTCTCCCCCAGTGTGTCTGTGTCCATACTGTCCCCTTTGGTGTGCCGAAACTTCAGAATTCAGAAAGTGCCATAGCAGTGTGTTGAGAACAAAGCACACACTTCCTCCAGGGCGTTCCTTTGTGCTTTGTGAATATTGAAGCGAGAAGCGTTGAAAATGTTGTCTGTGCTTGGATTTTTGTCGTTGCACATGTATTATAAATGTTTTGGCCTCAATCTGCGAGTAATAATTTCCTGTCTCTATGTAAGTGGGTTTTGCCTTTGCACAGGAGTTTTTGCATGTGTTGAACAGTTTTCTCTACAGGTCATGGGGAGTACTCGTATCAACAGTCTTCCTATGGGGAGCAAGGCTACGACAGATCCTTTGATGAATCTTCACAGCATTACTATGAAGGAGGTAGCAGTAGTTCATTCTGTCATTTTAAACCATGCTTTCAAGATGTATTTTCCTCCACTCTCCCAAACTTAAATTGTCTAAATGTGTCTAACCAAATGAGTCCCAATCCATATGAAAAAATAAATTACTAACACTTTTTGTATGCCTCCAGGAAACTCTCAATACAGTCAACAGCAGGCTCAGTATCAGCAGGGCTCTGGTCAGCAGCAGCCGTACAGCCAGCAGCAGTACTCCTCTCAACAAGGCTACAGCGGACAGCCACAGGGATACGGTTAGAACAACCCACACAACCATAATGTGTGCATTTAAACACACACACACAATGAATAATTTAATTGATTACCCCTTTGCTACAGGTCCTGGCCAAGGTGGATCCTCCCAGTATTCTCAGTATCAGCAGGGTCAAAGCCAACAGTACAGCTCCTACCGCTCCTCCCAGGGAGGCCCTGGAGCCCAGACGCAGAGGCCCTATACCTACGAACAGGTACATAGACTTAGATCAGATCTCAGATTTTGTCGTTGCAACACTGACTAATACCCAGTTAACATATGGGAAAATATGTATATAATCCCAAATAACGAGTATTTTGGATGGAATTTAACAGTAAATGTTTTATTATTGAACAACAAAAACAGTGTTTCCTTTTAAATTCAACTATTTTATCAACTTTAAAACATGAGTACAGCTAATGCATGTAGAAATGACTGTGTAGCTTGAATATCTTTTTGTGTCTCATTAATTACAGAAAGGCAAAAAGAAAGTGAACAACACAATGTATGAAATGCTTTCTAATCTCTGTATGAATCGTTTTTTCGTTGCAGGGTCAGTATGGAAATTATCAGCAATGAGGTTCCAACTTGTTTTTCTGTTAAAAGAGAGTGAAAAAATAAACGGTTCTACAGGGTGTCGCTTGCTCAGCCGGATCAGGAGATCTGGCTGCATCAGATTAATTATTCTCTCATTAATCATCTTTCTAGCCAAGAATACAAACTCTAGTCAAATGTGATGCTTTCTTCATCTGTTTTGCTCTCTACAGTGGCCGTAGACACAAAGTAGTCCATTTGAACCTTTTATATGGATTAAATAGGGTACTAAAAGTAGCAGTAAGGAAATTCGACGAGCTGCAGCCAATCGCCTGTATAATTCTATTATTTTGCTGTCTATGCCTTTCATGTGTCTTTTAATGTTTATTGTATTTAACAAGCCTCTTTTTATTGATTAGTTTGGTGCACAAAGCAGGCTTGTGAGACTGTGGCTAACAAAAAAAAACTGATTAGCCTTGAATGAATTGTTCGTTGATATTTATCTTAAAGATTAAGTGCAGCTCTTGCTTTAATTCCTAGTTGAGACGCTGTTTTATCTCCTGCTAAAGGAAATTAATTTTATGAAGGTGAAAACGTTGGTCCTTAAACCTGACTTGATCAGGGAGTTTGTCTGTTAGTCCAACTGTGATGTGTTGCTGTGTGGTCTAACATTATGTGTTTTTACTCTATACTTATGTCTTTCTGAGGTATTCGACACAGTAGTTAGCCAACTGATCCAGACCTAAAGGTGTGTATAAGTATCCATGATAGTCATACCTGGTGGCAGTAGTTTTGGTATTCATTTTGGGTGGCATTCCTCTAAACAGACTACAGTTATTGTATTGCGGAGTTTAGAGCTAGTGTGATGCCAATCATTAATGATTTTACATAAAAACACATTGCCACTTTGTCTGCACTTTATTTTGCAGTGTATGTATTGTCAGCTGTTTTGTATTGTTGTACAATTCAGGCTCTTTTTAACTAATAATCCTCAAAAAGCCAAAGTAACACAGGAACAGAATGGTAACACATCCTGCACCTCTACTTTAAAAAGTGCAATACACTCAGACAGTTAGTCATGTTGAGGTTTTATACTTTAATTCATTATTTGTATTATATTTTGAAAATCTTTGATGTCAAAGGTCTGGTTTGTCTAATGTTATGTTGCAGGTTTCAACTCACATGTCATATTTAAGAACATTATTTCCATAATCATATGACTTTTTGGACAGATGTGAACTTTATCACAAACATAAAACTTACTACTTCAACATACTTTTTCCAGTGAGCACTTTTATTAATATATTTTGTATTAGATGGAAAAACAAGTAACAGGGTTTTAAAGGTTCATTGCAGTATATTCTGTAGTAACTCAACTTATCTCAGAGGGGTAAAATAACGTAATAGTTGCAGGGTTATTCAAGAATGGGAGAAACCTGGCTGTCAAACAGCTAAATAACTATGTAGCTGCCACTCAACAGGGACAATCACAGGCTTATATACTACAATGAATTTGTATCAGTGTTTTTCATTTGTATGTGAACTGAACATGTATGGCAAGTCTTTTGTAGTTCAATGTAATGTGTATGCACTGATGTGGTTGAATGTGCGGTACGCCGTGTGTGTGTGTGTGTGTGTGTGTGTGTGTGTGTGTGTGTGTGTGTGTGTGTGTGTGTGTGTGTGTGTGTGTGTGTGTGTGTGTGTGTGTGTGTGTGTGTGTGTGTGTGTGTGTGTGTGTGTGTGTGTGTGTGTGTGTGTGTGTGTGTGTGTGTGTGTGTGTGTGTGTGTGTGTGTGTGTGTGTGTGTGTGTGTGTGTGTGTGTGTGTGTGTGTGTGTGTGTGTGTGTGTGTGTGTGTGTGTGTGTGTGTGTGTGTGTGTGTGTGTGTGTGTGTGTGTGTGTGTGTGTGTGTGTGTGTGTGTGTGACAAAGAGGAAAGGAAAACAGTGAGAGCGAAGTTTGGTGTGCATAATCCAAATATGAATGTTATGTTCTTATCTATTGTAAGTCTGCATTGCCTGATCTTTTCTGCTGTCTTTTGTTACTGTTTGTTATATAAAAATAAACTGACATTCACCTTTTGATATTATTATTATTTACACTTTTCCGTCACCGAGAAACCTCTGCTAATATTAACTGAAAGAGACATGAGTTAAAAATGATATAATTATTTGGATAATTATTTCATTTTAGTTATTTAGTTCTTTATTTATTTGTATTTTGCAATAAAACAAAAGAGATTACCTTTAGAAGGATCCCCTCCTAATATTGAAATTCAAGACATTTGTGAAGTATACACTTGTATACAAGTCTGTTTCATGTACACTGGCGAAGGCTAGTTCTGTAGCATTGACAATATAAAATATCCACTTGTTTACTTTCATTTTCTTCCTGCCCACCATAACTCACACTCACTCCAGCACAGAAGGTGGCGTTATAGGGCTGAATCGCATCAGCAAAAGGGAACGGTATTTCACAATCGCGTAAACAAACTGTCCCTTCACGGGTTCCGTAGGTGCCAGTAGCGTACTCGGTATAAGCATGTTGTAGTTATTAGACGTGCCAAAACGATTATAAAATAATGTAAATCCATCGGGAATTAACTGTATAACGTAGCCAGTGGTAAACCGGATACTCTGGCAGAATGAACATTTGTTCTGCTGTGAGTGCTGTGTATTGAGGCAAAACGTGGTGACTTTGTGAAACCGTCGTTAGCCAACCCTTCTTTAGTATTGATATCTGTCTGTTGAATGGTACAATGTTGGCGACGCTGTCAAGACTTAAAAGCCCTAGACTTCTTTCTCCGGAAATATTTTTAGGATACATATTAGGACAAGAGGTGAGAAGTAAAAAGGTTAGCTTGTTAAGTCACAGTTTACCAGTATCCGCAGCGGTGAGGCAGAAAGTCACCGCTGGCTCCAGAGATGTCAGCTCCTCCTGTTCGCTGTGCGCCAAAGCCAGAGGGCAGCCGAAGAAGAGAGAGCTGTCTGAAAAGAAGCTGGTATGTGTTTGAGATAATGCTATACATTTTTCACAACCTAGGGATTTAAATTAACCTACAATAGGGATACAAACTGAGATAAATGAACAGTTATTTCAAAGGGCAAAGGCATGGATGGAGTCTGTCCACTATATGTGAAATGGAAATGTTATTTGTCCCTCAAGTAGCCAAAACAAAACATATTTTTCTGAAGTTGGATCATTTCCTCAACCTGTCTTCTTGTAAAATGTGTGAATGAAGACACAGATGGGAATATTTAAATGTTGAAATCCAAAACAATTACATCATCATGTCTACTACATGTCTCACTAGATGATTATAAAAGAAACCTCTATCATGGACAGGTGTTAATTATATCCAGTCTTAGGTTAATTCTCTATGAAGATAAGGCTAAAACCATTTCCCCTAGGAGTATAATATTTACAGCATTTTTAAACAATCCTTGTTAAAACATTACAAACAGAAAAATATTGTCTGTAATTAATGCTAGTGTGCTGTTGATGAATCACAGTTTGGATTACTCTCTTAAGTATTTTTTTATCTGGCCCACAGACCCGTTGTTTTGTAGACCATCGGCGTGTGAAGCTGATGGCTGGCTCTGGTGGCAGAGGAGTTTCCAGCTTTCACAGTGAGCCGCGGAAAGAGTGGGGGGGGACCAGATGGAGGGAATGGAGGAGATGGGGGAAGCATCATTATGAAGGGTAAGTTTGGTGTGTGGTTCCAGGCACGAGACACTATTATATTTGCCATGTATTCTCTACAATTATCACATTCTGTCTCCAGACAACATATTAATTATTTTACAATTCAGGACTACCCACTCTGCTGGCTGGAACATTGTTCAAATCATTGTTATCATCAACGCTATCTCACTCATAAAGCTTGGTCTATTCTTCATCATGCCCAAACTTGTTTCTGTCATTAATTTATTTTTTATGTACTTCCAGCGGACAAGTTTGTCAAATCATTGGCACAAGTAGTCCCGATTTACAAGGGAGAAGATGGGCAACGAGGTGGCAGCAAGAACTGCTATGGCAAGAACGGGAGCAAGAACTATATTTCTGTGAGTCCATCTATTTGATTATGAATTACATGTCAGTTATGAATGTAATTTAAGAAGACTTGTATCATTTTTCTACGATAAGCCCACTGTCTAACCATTGATGATGTTTCCTATTATTAAGGTACCTGTGGGCACCGTGGTAAAGGAAGAAGGAGAGACACTGGCCGACCTTTCGGAGCACGGCCAGGAGTATCTGGCTGTATTTGGGGGAATTGGTGGGAAGGGGAATCGGTTCTTTCTGTCCAATGAGAATCGTGCACCAATGACGGCAACCCAAGGAATGATGGGCCAGGAGAGGGTCCTTCAGCTGGAGCTCCGCACCATGGCCCATGCTGGACTGGTGAGGAAAAGCTGCTAATGTTTGAATTTTTCATAGGCACATGTTGTTTTTCAACTCTAAAAATGCAATGAACTGACATTTGAAACATCTTTATCCCATCAGGTGGGGTTTCCGAATGCTGGAAAATCATCATTGCTGAGAGCCATCTCCAACGCCAGGCCTGCTGTGGCTGCTTACCCTTTTACAACACTCAACCCACATGTAGGAATTGTCAATTACAGGGATCATGAGCAAGTTGCAGGTAGAGAGTGATTAATATTCGTTTTTTTAAAACACTGTAGAAATGATTTAATAAGATTTTGCTTATTCTTCAGTGTAATATATAAGCTGCACTTTTACCCTTGTCCTGTGTAGTTGCTGACATCCCAGGCATCATTCGAGGAGCCCATCTGAATCGAGGCCTTGGCATTTCTTTTCTGCGCCACATAGAGCGCTGTCGTTTCCTACTCTATGTTTTGGACCTGTCTTCCCCAGAGCCCTGGACCCAGCTCGTGCACTTGCGTTATGAACTGGACCAGTATGACCCGGGTCTGTCCCTGCGTCCTCAGGTCATCATAGCCAACAAAATGGACCTTCCTGAGGCCCGGGAGAAGCTAGAGACTCTAAAGAGCCACGTCTCCCAGCGGGTCATCCCTGTGTCGGCGCTCACAGGACAAAACACAGAAGAGCTCATCCTCCACCTCAGAGAGCTGTATGACGGATATCTCCAAGGAGAAGGTAGTGGGGAAGAGAAACCCAAAAGATGGTAGTAAAAATGAGTTTGTCTGATATTTTCACGATATATATTTATACTTGAAGACATGGAATGATTTTAAATTGCTTAATAAACACATAAACGAAACATAATTCAATGTCTGTGTTAGTTTGTCAATTACTTGCTGCTCTTTGATAAGTATACATAATTGATTTATATTTTCTGGAAAGATATAGCAGCTATATGCTACACAATAAAGTATTACAACTAGAGAAGCCAGTAGACTGTTAAATATTAGTATTAACAAATGCCTGTCTAGGGTCAGCCTGCTAAAACAAATAAGTTATACAAATTCAGTCTATGATAGGATGAGTGTGCATAGAAATGATTATGAGAAACAAACAGGAAAACTGAGTTCAGTTGACTTAAACACCATGTAATTTTCATAATCTGGTCCTTTTCTCAGTCAATACAAAACCACAAGCATAGAGTACTCGACAAAGAAGATACAGATACATGTTTTTCCGTTTTACTTGATGCTCTAACTTTTTGTTGTCCTGTGTTGAAGTTTGTCAATGACAACGTAATTCCTAAATATACCAGCAGAGGGCATGCATCTTACATCCTTTTAAACAACTTTCTATGATTTTTTTTTATTGAACCTTTTAGCAAACAATACTCTAGAGTCTACATGATGACATTGGTGGGCTGCCGCTGCTCTTAAATTGATTATCAGCCCACACAATCAAAAGGGTGCAGACGTGTATTTAATTTGCCAGCAGTCCTTTAGTAATGTGTGTATAAAGATAAAAATGCTTTCGGCAATGTATTATGTCGTTGCCAGTAAAACCAGAATTTGTTTAAAAAAGAACCACATAGGATAAAGATACTTTGTATTTTGATGTTGTACTATGCAGTAATATAGAGAAATTAAATTAAAACTAATTGTTTCCCGAAAAAGGAATTATTTCAATGCCTTGCAAAAGTATTCAGCGCCCCCCTTGGTGTTTTTTATATTTTTTTGCATTAGAACTTGTAATTTGAAACAATTTAATATGGATTTTATTTCAATAACACAATATAGACCACAAAGATGAAAAAAATGAAGCCCAGTAAAACATTTTGAAAACATTTAAAACTTAAAAGTAGTAATCATTATTCACCGACTTTGAAGCCCCACCAATGACCTTCAGAATTAAATAATTGTTAACTAAAGTCCACCTGTGTGCAATCTAAGTGTCACATTAGCTCTTACAGCTACATTATCTGTATATATGTTATCTGTATTTAGGCCCCACCAAACATGCAAACTGCATTGAGAAAAATAAGGTCTCCAAATAGATGGAAGGCCAAAGCTGTGGGGAAGTATTGGCCAGGCAGAGATCAGAGTATCTGTCCATAGGACAACTTAATGCTCTACGAGTGGCAGAGAAATGTATATTGATGAGAAGAAAATAAGAAAACTCATTTGGATTTTGGATGTTTACTTGGAAAAGTACTCTGGTCATATGAAAAATGTTTGGCCATCAGGGAAAACACTTTGTCTAGCACAAACCCAATATCACTTATTACCCTTAGAACACCCTCCCCACAGTGAAGCATGGTGCTGAAAGCATCATGTTGTGGGGATGTTGTTCATTGGCAGCAACTGGGAAACTGGTCAGAATTAAAGGAATTATGACTTTAAGAGTCTTTAAGAGATTTGAGGCTGGGACGGAGGTTCACAATGACCGAAAGCATACTGCTAAAACAACAATGGAGTTAAGATTAAACATTTTGTGTCTTGGGAGTCTAGTCAAACTTCAATCCAATTGAGTATCTGTGGTATGACTTAAGGAGGATGGAGGGGAAGGTTAATGAATAGCAACGTTGGAGAATAAAAACACATAAGAGGTAAAAGCTTCATTATATACCAGCTACGGTTGAGGTCTCTTGCTTTTTTAAAAGCAGGATGTCCTGATGTTGTCTTAAAGGATGTTGTGTCATATCTTTTCTTTTGGTTGAACTTACATGACTGCTTTGTTTGCACATTAAACAGCATGACAACCATGATGCCCTCTTAACTTGAAAGAGCTGTTCTGGCCACATCTCTGGGTGTGGCTTTAGATTATGAAATCTGATCCCACTCTCTCTTTTGCTAGGCATGTGTGAAAAACAATGATGAGGAGAGTGAGAAATAGGCAGTAATCCTATGAGACTCCCTTCAACAGCATCACAGTCTGGAAACGGTGTGGACTGTCATCATCAGGCACATATAGGTGCACTCATTTCATGTGTATAATGCATTTTATTCATTACCTATTCTCATCTAATAATAATTGTGGTTGTTATCAAACATTTCCAAGGACCACTAAGATGTGTATGGTTAATTTTGCACAGGTTTAGCAACTCTCGAGAAAAAGTTTCTGTATCTTAAGTGCAATAAATAGCTTATCAACTTGGGGTTGTGCTAGCTGAGCTTGTTTTGGAAACAGCTGCACCCTACTGAGCATTTCTTTCTTGACATGTTCACATGAAACCGCACACCATCACAGTTATCAAAAATAAAACCGGTATGACGACCTTGCAATGCTTGACTGATAGTTCCTTGGAATCAGGGTGCATGAGTTAGCATCATAGGTCATTGTACTTATTTGGGAGTGCTTTATGTATACACAATGACACACCTGCATATCTTTGACAATTAAAAGATGCGGTTTGGATTGTTGTGTTACGAGTTAGTATCTCTGCCTACCATGACCCTGCCACACACCAAGACATTACCCTACATTTCAATGACTTTCAATCTCAGAGCAACATTTTATCTGAGACACGCTGTAAAGTTCCTGAAAACAAGTTGCACAACATTGGTAGACGGAAGGTCATGTAGGGTGAACGTTGGTCTCTATAGCAGTAACATTTTTTATTTTCTATTTCAACACACTAATCACATTAAACATCTGATCAGGTAAGGTTTAGCATATTATACAAAAATAAATTGAAGGAACTACAAGTTTAAAGGCAAAACAAACAAAACATTTCTGAAAATAAATATGATAGGCAGCCACTGCATGCACTGCATGTTGTATCCACTCTAAATGCTCATATATTCAACCATTGCTTAAAGAGCTTTCCTAACCTCCTGAGATATACTCCCCTGTATTATAATAGTACATTAAAATCCCACTGTCATCCTTATGACACTATCCCAACCTAATGTCTGACTTTGAAAAGAGCATGATGAGGTCAGAAGCTAAAGGTTTTTCCCATTTATTCGAAGAGTTAAAAATGTTTTTTCTATTTGTATAATAGACCTTATTTCATGCTTTCCAATCCTTTCAGAAACACTGTAAATTCCCTATCTGCCATAAACATTCCTTGTATGAAAGAACAAAAGGGTAATCATTTTTAAATCCCAAAATAATATTAGTTAAGAAAGCTCCTGTTGGAAACAATGAAGTTATACAAATCTTATTTCACAAAATCAGCCAATTATGTCCAATCCCACAATAATTGTAACAGTTTTCCTTTTTGCCCCTCCAAACATATGGTTACAATTATCATTTAGGATTACTAACTTGATAAAATTAAAATCAGGTACTGTATGATGGAGTGTTCATTTTAGACTTTCCACTTGAAACTTTGTTGCTTCTCAAAACGTTGAGGCTCAGGTTTTGTACTGTAGTCATGGTCTCTTACTCGACATGCAGATTGAGGCCAGAGTATCAAACCTGAAATCCAGGTCCAGGTCAAGTTCTGGGTCAAAGGGAATATCAGGGATGGAGATGGCATCAAGATCAAAGTTGTGTTTTTCGTCTCCCTCCTCAGTGTAATTATGAGGATCATAATCACCCAGCTCCTCTTCTGGTGCGCTGAGGGCATACAGCTTCTACAGAATACAGAAGACAAAGGGGAGAAAACATTATTGAAAAGAAACAGAATGACAAGAACTTTAAACAATTGATTCAACTCATTTCTTACATCTCGTAGTACTTTGAGTATCATTGTATGCTGCATCACACTAATCTCTTGATGTGCAGAAGATCCGCCGTGGAAATCCCAAGCCTTGGAAATCAGAAGTAAATCATGTGATTTCAGTTCTGAATAACATCAGATATAAATAATGGAACATTTCACGGAACATGTCTCGATTCAGTTACATTCTTAATAATTCTACAACTACTACTACTTTATAATAATAATAATAATAATAACAATAATAACAATAACAATAATAATAGTACCTTGCGCCAAGAACACCAACGTTGATATCTTTGCTCCATTTCCAACTGGAAATAAAAAACCATGTAAATTTATGATAATTGTTATTATCAATCCATTGTCCATTTTTCATTACACAACAAAGGGCTGGTTATTTGTTCTGGTTGTCAACACAAATGAAATGACTAAAACCAAGAGTTTGTGAGTTAGTGACTTTAAGCCCCAAGCTCATTTGATGCATTTTTTATTGTAACAATGGCGTTCTATGGTACATCAATTCATTTCTGGTTTTGGTCTTTTCGTTGGATTTATTGACTCTGGGATACATCCTTTAATAATAATAATAATAATAATAATAATAAATATGTCTGTACCCTGTAGAAATGGTCCCATTTCTCTTGGTTTGTATGCTGATCTCCCGCGTCTTCTGACTGCAAAAAAAAACAAATTCAAGTCAGGTTGACCTTATGTTAACAAATGAAAAATAATTAGTGTTAATTTGTCATGAATATAACAACAAAAGTTGTTCATAAGCCTGTTATTAAATGTATGTATACTTTTTCTTCACTTACTGGCTTTCTCTTTGAAGGCCTTCTTGGTAATTTGATGTCTTTGGGGCCGTGAGCCAATTTCACCTGTTGAAAGTTAAAAAACGTTTTTTCTTTGCAACAAGTTGCAGTTATTTTTCCATAATTAAAGTTTGTACATCACTGAAGTATGAGGGGAGGTAATAAAGTTCAGGTATATTATGCAAAAAATGTATTTACGTTGCAATCAGTTCCGGGTTTCTCAATGTTACTCATTATCAGATGTCCTGAACCTGAATCAATATCATCTGGCATTGGTTTGTGCTCATTCTTACACTGCAGCAGAAAAACCAAGAGTAGCACAGCTGGGAGACAAAGACCACACACATACAGATCAATGCATATACGTTTATGTCTTAAATGACTTTACTGGGAAATCTTTACATATCTTTGACAATTTCAGACACGTTTCCTACCTGAAAGCAGTAGCATGCTAAGAAATATGATCCCAAGCGCTCCTCCTCCTACTCCGGAGCCCTTAGCTTTGCGGATGCGGCAATTTGGCTTCGTTATGTCAACACAGTTACACACAATAACTGACAGGTTGTAAACTGCTTCCTCGCCCTGGAGGCCAAATACCTTCAGCACCAAATCATACTCTCCAGGATGAACTGTGCTCTCCTTCACCAGTTTGGTTGTATACCCTGTACATAAAACATTCATTTTTATATTGTCAATTCATTTAGCCTTTCGTTTAAAAAATGATATAGAGGTTTATTTTCAAAATTGTCGTTATTTTCTAACCTTGTGTAGGGTCAATCTTCCACTTGCCCTTCTCTTTTTCCTGGAGCTTGAAGGAGAAAGGTCCACCAAAGGGGTCTTGATCAAGGTCGAAGGCAGTGATGTTGGCCTGAGAGAGTCCATCAGATTGGCAAATGTCCAATGTTGTCTCAGTCAACTGTGGCACATTGTCGTTTTCATCGGTAATATGGATGTTGAGGGTTGCAGTGCCTGTCATTGGAGGAAGACCTGGTGACCAAAACACATGTGCATTTTCATTAGTGAAGACATTTTAAATAAGAACAAACACAATATAATTATTCCTGAAAGTCATACCATTGTCAGCAGCATATGTTGTGACCTTATACGTATTGTCTTTCACAAAGTGGGACTCTCTGTCGATTATCTTGGTTGTGGTTATATTTCCAGTCTTGGGGTCCACTCTTACCCAATCAGCTGGGTCGTCTCCTTTTGTGTATCTGAAACACACAATCAGGCCTTTGCGAGTTATTTATTGACCAAATAATTGTAGTCACGTGAGACGGTCCGACAACTAGTAAATTCATAACTTACACAATTGTGCTGGCTCTGGAAGCGTCAGGATCCGTAGCTGCAAATGTCGCCAGATAGAGCCCCGCCTTGGTATTTTCCGCCACCGTAACGTGTTTGTTAGTCATGTCAAAGATTGGAGGATCATTGACATCCTCCACAATCACTGTCACTTTGGTAGTGGACAGAGTTAGTGTTTCTTCCCCAATAAGACCACCAATAGCTGAACTGCCAATAGTGTTGACTTTCCAAAGACCAGTGGTGCTTCTTCTTTCCACCTTGCATGAGTAATATGGCACTTCATTCTGTACACTGATATTCAGGTGTTTTTCATGACTTTCTTCATAGTCCAGAGGCTGTTAAAAAGAAAAAAAGGAAAGGAATTTTTTTAATTCAGGCCATGTCACCTGACAGCCATAAAGTTTGTCACTGATAGTTGTCAATTTCTTCAAAAACAAGAATCCCAACAAATAGTAAGAATTTCTAGAGGTTTCACTCTCTTCAGCTCTCTTTGTTAGCACTGCTGCAGTTCATCTCATCAACTAAGGGCAATTAAAGGCACAGCAGCATACTCAGAATGTAATGTTACTGCTTCGTGTGATCAAAAGTGATTTATCAACGATAGAGCCTAATGTATTGGATGTTGAATACCTTACCCCATGGAAAAACTACTGGATACTGGTTACTTTATCTGTGCTAATAAAAATGTGTCGTCTGTGTTTCATAAAAAATCAGGATGATCACACAAAAAATACCTTTTCTACATAAAGTAGTCCTTCATTTGTCTCAGGATCAGTAGTGATTTTGAAGTTCCTGTTTTCGTCTCCTTTGATTTGATATTTGGCCCTCCAGGCCGATGTACCTTTGGTGTCTCGGTCTGTAACTTGCAGACGTTTAACAAGAACATTTTCCTCCCCTTCTTTCACTCTCCCTGTACCCTGGGAGAGAAAAATAAAACTTTAATTGTGAAAATTGACTGTTGTATTATAACCATATTCTTATCAAGGTGAATTAAAGAAGTAATGGCTCACTGATTGTCCTGTTATCACAGGTAGATGGTTATTTCCATCTTCTATGTTGATAATGATGGTGGCGAAGCTGGAGAGCTGAACTTCTTCTCCACGGTCTTTGGCCTCCACTTTAATGATGTAGGCATCGGCTTTCTGATCAGTTCAAAACACCCAACAATTATTATTAAATATATTATAATTTAGCGGTAACCTTCACATTTAAGAAGATAAAAGTTCCAAGATTAACCTTTTTTTTTAATATTTGTGATTAGTTAATTATCAAATTATGCAATGAGTTTCCTCACCTCATGGTCCAGACATCCTTTAAATGAAACCGTTGCAGTTGATTCGAATTGCTTTAGGTAGAACTCCAAGTCAAACGGGTCAGGAATTACTGAGATTATTTTTAAATCAAATAATCTGTTGTTCTCAGTGCTGTCGTCGTCGTTTGCTTTGATGGTAATGAATTCAGTGCCTGGCAGTATCAAAAGAAAGCATTAGTTTGTTTTAGTTTGTATAATATTTGTTCATAATATGTGAAGATTGCAGATTGAGAAGCAACAAGCAAGTTACCTTGTGGTGTTGACTCTTCTATGGAAACCTCATACCTATCAGGCTCAAACATTGGAGGGTTGTCATTTGCGTCGATTATTAATATCTCAACTCCAAGCTGTGTGTCTATTTCCCTTTTTTCTCCATCATAGGCCTGAAAGGTTAGCTGTAATGCAATAGCACAAATTGTGACATAATGAAATGCTTTCAAGGGCACACAAACACATACACTCACATCCAGGAGATAATTTAAACAATGCAAATTTAGTAAATTCCTTCCAACCTTTAAAACTCTGAACTTCTCGTAGTCGACGGGGCCATGGACAGTAAGCATTCCTGTGTCTTCGTTGATTTGTAAGATGTTTTTGGGATCTTTTTCCACACCCTGACCATGTATCTTGAAAAAGCTGAATTTCTTTTCAACCTGGAGCTGCAGGGAGTAAAACAGCACAGTAGTGAACGGTGGGATCTTGTCATACATATACCATTCATTTCCACTTATTATGACTCTCGGTAAATACACACCGGGCCCAGCTCGTATGGGAAACCTCCTTCATAGTCTTCTCGAATAGTAAAGGAATCAATAATCCAGTCTCTTTTTTGTCGCTTCAGAATTTTTAAAGATGAACTATGGACTAGCAAACACTGGAGAAAAACATTACATTACATAAGATTAAGTACATTTGGGATTATTTTGTATATTCATGATTGTGTATTACTAGCACATACAGCTCTTAACACATTGTTAAATAAGTCACTTAATTTATACACACAATATTCTATCAATAATCTATAATATTAGCAGAATTAACCAGTGCCTTCAGCATTGACTTTTAAAATATTTATAAATATTTTATTTGTCATTTACAAACTGACTTAATTTTAAATAATCTGTTTTTTGATAACCAGCCACATTATATCTGTATCATTTTGATCATATTATCATATAAATACAAAATGTAATGCTTGGTTACTGTATATATATTTACAAACAGTGAATGTTTATAAAGGCAGTCCATCATGCTGGAATCATAGGCTTAAGTAAGTATCAAGTAATAATTGTTTGAAATATTCTCAACCAATCTGTCCAGAAATAATGCAAAAAATACATTCTTACCAGTATCAAGAACAGCCTAGGGCGTGTTATCTCTTATAAGTGTTTGTATAGTTTTGAGTGCAGTTCTTAATTTAGCAGGAGAAATTAGGTGTTTTGCACTTTGGGTGTGTGGTTTTGTGAATTGTGTTTAGTGTTCTGAGAAACTGAGCAATTTAAAAAAAAGAATTGTGTTAGCAATTGAGAAAAACTGTAATTGTTTGAAATATTCTCAACCAATCTGTCCAGAAATAATGCAAAAGATACATTCTTACCAGTATCAAGAAGAGTCTAGGACGTGTTATCTCCATCGCGTATCGAGATCGTGTGTTGTCATAGTCATTAATCCCTTGGTTTTTAGACTAACGCTGGGATGCACCTGGATTAAAGTTTAAATGCAACTCATGGCACCAGCCTACCTGAGAGGGGGCGGGGCCTGTGTAATAATAGATGATCACACATGATCACACCTTGTACGTCCAGCCTGGAATCTAAGACATTTAAAAGCAGCTGGGTGTGTACACAATGTGTGTGTGTGTGTGTGTGTGTGTGTGTGTGTGTGTGTGTGTGTGTGTGTGTGTGTGTGTGTATGTGTGTGTGTGTGTGTGTGTGTGTGTGTGTGTCTAAAATGCATTATTATATATTTGGTCTGTAACACTTTTGTTAGAGATATGTGAGAATAGTTATTATGTTACTATACCTTTATACTGTTGATGTACCAATGTAATCATTTTCATCCTTTTTATTTAAATAGCTTATTTCCTATAGCAACCTTACAAAGTGCTTTACAGTGGTGCAAACACACAAATAAAATAAATGTTTAAACTATGTAACAGAAAGCACATCTAAATAATTACATTTAAAAAATAACTAGGATTTCATAATACTCTAAAGGCAGTTAGCTTGATAACCACTATGGAGACCCAAACTGTTGACATGAAGACAAAATATATTGTAAATGCAGTACATGGTGTGGCAATGTGATTAATGTTATATATTTTTCCTGTTTAAACATTTTCAAAAATATGCAACCTTTATCACTTGGTCTTTGCCAGGCAGGACGAGACGGACACAGTTACACCATTGACTCTTGCTTAGATTTCAGTGCTCCTTGTTAACTATGTCATTTTGAATATAAATGAGAAGGTTTTATAAGATATTATAATGACCTGAGTAATAAAATGATTTTGAACAATTTCACAATTGCATGATTATATAAATGTAATTTGATTGTAGATAATTTCATAATGCGTGGCTTTATTTTATTTGTATACGTCTTGTTATTTCATTATAGTGTACAATAATCGATGCCATTTCATTTACATTTTAGTATCACAGTACACTCACAACACTCCCCACTCCCACAGGCAAAACCAAACCAAAAAATGTGTGTGTGTGTGTGTGTGTGTGTGTGTGTGTGTGTGTGTGTGTGTGTGTGTGTGTGTGTGTGTGTGTGTGTGTGTGTGTGTGTGTGTGTGTGTGTGTGTGTGTACTTTTATTACAACTCACTTCTAGTTTAGACTTGTCCTTTGAAATCGGTTCCTGGAATAAGATATTTTAAAAAGTATTTTAGATGTTACTTTTACTGCAGTTGTTTTACGGTGTGTAGTAGAAGAGGCTGAGAAGCAAAGCTAGCTTTAAGTGTTATAAATAAAAACATGCATTACGACATGTGGTTAAATAAGATTTGACACATCACTTTTCTTTATAAAAAAAACAAACAATGTATTATAATTTTTGGGTTGATGGGGATAAGATATCAAATTAAAGGTCAGATTTTCAAATAAAGTTTTGTTTCTTTCGACAGTTGGCTTTGAGTCACATTGCATTATTACTCATTTCCATGTGTCCAATAGTGATCGTCAGTCCTAACAATGGGCTTTGTTTTCTGGTGCTTCCATATATTTTCAGTACATCAACATAATAATTCATTGTGTATCTTCGTCCTTCAAAAAGCACAACATCTGTGTGTGTGTGCTCATTGTAATAACATTAGAAATATGCTGACTGACCACACATTTAATGGCATACTATACAACATAACTACACTGGCTTTCATTCTGTTTTTACAAAAGCACCTGGTATTTCTTTGATGTGCTGGCTATACAGAGGAATGTTATAACCTGATTTACAACTACCTTTTCACCTGAGGACAATTTGAACTGACAGTCTAGTAGATACTTTAAGATGGGAAAAAAATCTTTAGGGAGAGTATCTGGCTCACATTGCACCTGGGAGTGTCAATGGGAATCAAAACTGAGTATTTTTTATAACTAACCGCCGAAAACAAAACAAAAGAGATGATAGCATGACACGTCAGTAACTTGGCTGGAACTCTGTACGCCTTTATTTTGCAGATCCAAATCTTTTCACTGGAATCTGTGATGATATCACTTCTCAAGAAAAAATAAATACTTTAGAAGTGTGTGTGTGTGTGTGTGTGTGTGTGTGTGTGTGTGTGTGTGTGTGTGTGTGTGTGTGTGTGTGTGTGTGTGTGTGTGCGTGTGCGTGGGTGCGTGCATCCATGCATGCGTGCGTATGTGTGTGTGTGTGTGTGTGGGGGGGGGGTGTGGGGGTAAAAGACAAAAGCTGTAGGGAGACCAGGGACAGTTGTAACACTTTTTGGTTTTTCCCAATAAGTAAAACAACTTTTACACTAGGATAGCCATTTTGCTATAATATACATTCTCAATGTGTCAACTACTGAAACAATGTATTTAAGTGTTGTTAAGAAATAAGCACAGGTTGGAAAATGTATTTAAATACAGTCACTCAACTGTTACAACCATCCCAGTGTACAGGGACGGTTGTAACACATGCAAGGGACGGCTGTAACATGTTAATAACGGTTACCCTTTTTCACACTACATGACAAAAGGGAAAGCTGTCAAATTTTAAGGCAACAAGATTTTAATGGGGTTTCACACATCCTCCAACAAACAATGATCAGAACTTAAAACAGAACACCAGATGGAACTAGAGAATGCAATTCCTGAAGAAATTGCTAGTGGGAATGCTTTATGCTGAAAAGATGAAGCTGAACTGCTATGCTGAAATGTAATGTGTAATGCTGCGTTCACACCGGACGCGATGCGATGTTTGGGGGTGGCACGATTACATGTAAAGTCAATGCAGAGACGCGGACAGACGCGAATTCGCTACGACGGTGAGCATGAAGCGGTGGACGCGAATTCCGCGGCGCGATTGAGGCGATTGAAGGGGGCTGCGACATACGCTCGAGTTCAATTTTTTCAACTCGATCGTCATATTTTCGCGTGACGCGATCTCGCGGTAGCCAATCAGCGGTGAGGATCTCAGCCTGCCGTCACTGACGTTCAACCCGAAAACATCAGCCGTTAGCTGTTAGCAGTTAGCACACAGAGCTCACAGCTCCTCATATCTGTTCAGAAACTATACAGAAGTTAAAGAAGAACAAACCACAGACTGTCTGTGTCATGGTGAATACATTCGCTGGTTTATTTATGTCTGTAGGCCGTTGTTGTGAGTGTGGACGGTCGGAGCATATACAACGTTAGCTTAGCCTGATCGATCCGATCTCCATTCAGAAAACACGCATTTTAAAAGGTTTTTCGCCTGCCGTCTTGTATGCAGACTTGTCAAAGCATTAATTCATGGTTTTTACTAACCGGTATCAGTATGTTATTACTTCGGCATCATTTTGAAACGTGTATTACAATTAAATCACGGTAAAATATGTTCATTTTGTTGTAGTTGTAGCCCCCTAGCCAGCGCGTCTTGTTTGAATGATGCGAGTAAACACAGCTGACAGCCGCGGTGAAACTCGAACGTTTAGAGCGAGGCGATAGGAGCAGAGATGGGGTCGTTACTCATAAAAAGTAATATATTACTTTACTTCGTTACTCTCTACATAAACGCGTTACTTTACTCGTTACATTACTCGTTACTTTACTCGCAAGGCCGCCCCTCCCTACAGGCAGATCACGCAGACTGCGAAGGGTGCTTCATTTTGCGGAGGGAGCGGGAGGGGGCGGCCCTGTTTACATCCTCACTCTAGGGTTCGGGGGTCCTTAGCTATTAGCTTCACGTTAGCATGTTGTCTTTGCAGGTGCTTGTTGAGGTTTGACGTTGTGTTTGCAGCAGTGGATAAAAGCTTCTGTCCTGGACAGAGTTTGCACCTCACCGTCACATTCCTGTCCTTTCTTTGGACAAACTCAAAATAATGGGCATACCTCCACCCCTCGAAAGTTTCGCTCTTGACTGAGCCATATTTATACACTCTATGTGGACGCGCAAGTCGCGCAAATGTTACGTAAATATAAACCTGCGGCGGAAATCCCTCTTGTCTGTCAAAGGGAGAATCCACGGCTCTGGGAGAATCTAGTCATTCTTTATGTTAGTAGGCTAACTGTAGTGTGATTACTGATTTTATAAAAGTAATGAAGTAACGCGTGTCGGGCAATGTTAGTAACGCGTTACACCCAACTCTGGATAGGAGCGATTAGAGCGAAGCGAATATTCGCATCGCTTCCGGTGTGAACGCAGCATAAGAAGAAAGTGAAGAATTTAGATTGAAATTATACATGAACACTGGGGGCTTGAATGTGGGATAAGAGAATTAAAGAAAGTAAAAAGGCTTGGAAAAGCAGCAGAATATTTGAACAGCAAACTTTTGAACTAACTTGATGGCGAATGATCTGTCGCCATGGCAACGGTATTTGATGACACCCCATAATACGCTTAGATGTGTTGATGGCTGCATCGTTACCAAACCTGTGAAGTTTTGGGCCGTTTGGAGCATTTTCACTGAAGTTATGAGATAACCGTGTTTCATAGCGATCATTATGTTGCCAAGGCAACGGCATTTGAAGAAATCTCAAAACTGTCACGTAGATGTCTTCACGGCTGGACTGTTAGCACACATGTGAAGTTTGCGCACTTTTTAACAATTTTCATAGGAGTTATAGCAATATCGTGTTTTATTGCGAGGGATGCGTTGCCATGGCAACAGCTTTTGAGGAAAACTCACTATTGGCCCATAGACATGTTGAGGGCTGGACCATTAACCATTATCTGAAGTCTGGTGCTGTTTTGACCCTTTTCATAGGCGTTACGACAACATCGTGTTTTTTGGCAAGGGATGCGTTTCCATGGAAATGTAGAGCTGTTGAGGCATGGACCGGTGATATACAAGTAAAGTTTGGGGGACGATCGGACCGTGTCCATTGGAGTTACAGCGACATCGTGTTTTATGGCGAGGGATGCGTTGCCATAGTAACACCACATTACGTAACATCAGATTTGATGTAGAGCTGTTCAGGGCCACAGTGTTAACCATCATGTGATGTTTGGTGGCGTTCTGAGCATGTCAGTTGGAGTTATGACATCATCATGTCATAACTCCCACAAAAGTTGGAATGAGGTTTCTGAGGGAAGGTATGAAGGAACAGTTAGCAGTTGAAGTCGCATGAAGATTTTTCAAGTCTGCTAAAAGCACTTTAATACAGGGGTATCTCCTCTTGCACTTGATGTAGCTCTTTGATCTTCTCCTGCACTTTATATGTCGTAGCTGCTACATTGTACTGCCATGTGTGTAATGCTTGTATATGCTGCTCATGCTCTTTCTGCATATCATGTATTTATTTGTGCTATGTATATAAATGTCAGGTTCTTAAATGTTGTATGTGAGGGACTACGGATGGAAATTAGCTCAAAGCTCAAATCCGGCATGTTTACGTTTTAAAGCATTATTTGTTTTAAATGTTCATCAATATGCATTGTCCCTCTTCAAATAAACGATTAAATGAAATGAAAATGAAATAAATGAAGTCTGAAGAGTTTCTCCATTGACTTCCATCTTAAAAATGTGTTTAATTATGGGATATATCTCTGGAATTATGAAAGTTATGAATGAGAAAAGTAATAGCCATTGATTCCCGATCGAGTTGAATGTTTTAATGTTTGAACGGAGTTTCTGCGATGTGGAAGAGGCGCAAAATAATCCGGCGGAATAAGAATAAAGAATTTGTGCGTAGAAGAACAAGTAGCTGGAATGCTGTATCAGCATTCCCACTAATTGAATCTGATTCACAGTTGTGGCAGGTGTAAAAGTAACTTCCATCTGTGCAGTCCTTGTGTGCCAAGGCTTTACAGGAGCAACACTGCAGCCAGATCTCCTTGGACCTGGAGCAGCTCTCCAGGCACACAATGCAGTATTGAGCTTCATCTTCATCAGATGAGTCCTGAATCTTCTGCTTCTTGTTGGGTTTTTTTTTTTGTTGCAGAAATTAATTTTTCTCTTCACTTTAGACTTGTTTGCGTTAGACTATTTTTTCTCAGCCTCGAGTTGATTTTTTATAGGAGTGTCTGTGAGGACAGCGGTTTCTCTTCTTTTTCTCCCCTTTGTTGTCCGTGTTACAACCGTCCCAGGACCACCAGTCATGTTTTCACCCCCTGTGAACCTGCCTGATTGCTAGCTTGACCCATATTTAGCTAGTTATATTTTTAGCTTACAAAACAGTGATTCTAATAATACTAGTTTGGATTCCTAGACATTTGACCTCAAGACAGTATCCAAAAAATACATCATATAATCTTTTTATTTTTTTTTACCTCAGAAACACACTTTTGCTGATATCTTTCGCGAGAGATTTAAACATGGCTCCTTTTTTTCACAGCGATCTTTCGATCTAACTGAGCATGTGCAGAGTGAGTGTCATCACTCTAGCTTGTTTGTGATTGAAGGCGTTACAACTGTCCCGTGTTACAACTGTCCCTGGTCTCGCTACGTCGTAGGGAGGAAAAAAAAGTCACGTTTAAATTACTTTATTATATTTACACCTGTAGGGGAGAGTGGGGTAAGTTGAGCCATTTTTTAGTTATGCTGTCCTCTAAGCAAGGAGAAATGACACATAGTAAAAATGAAAGCACACACCTATAATTCAGGATGTCTCCTATCAATGGCAATGATAAGAATTAATATTTGATAAAGGGCAGTGAAAATATTACTTCTACAAAAAAAAAAGTCTTGTGGCTCAACTTGCCCCTGGTAAGGGGTAAGTTGATCCAGGTCAGGGGGTAAATTGAACCACTGTTCAAACTTGGGCATACCTGTTCAAACCTGGGCATACCTACAAAAAATCTTAAAGGTAACTTTAAACAATAAATAACAAACCAAATACAAGTTTAGTTTTTCAAATATTTTTAATATAAATTTCGATTGAATTGATTGATTTTTTTTAACATGTTAATAAAAGGAAAAGTAATCATACAAATGGTGATACAATTTCATACATCTTACCAATCAAACACAGGGTAAATTCAACTTTAAATGTAGCCTACAATGAGCTCTTATTATCAACTTGGCCTACTTTCATTAATTTCTCCATTGAAAAACTGGCTCAACTTACCCCAAGGCCCACGGTTCACTTTACCCCATAGCCACCATTTTAGAAAAAATAGTCTAGCATTACAATTCAGAGTCATCTTTAGCTTAATGACTCACATGGTTTAATACGCTGCCAACACATCAACATATACAATATATTTGTTTAAACCTGGATACATTTTTTTTGACATGACAGCCGATATAGCTGACATCTAGAAAATGTACTTTGACAAGCAAAAAACGTTTTTTTGTAAAAATGCTTACCAGACCACAATGAGCATCTCTCTTTCACAGGCAATGATAAATGGGAGAAGCTTGCATAATTTCTGGTCACGTGATTACAACTATAAGGCGTTGCCTGGTTACAGGGGGTGGTTCAACTTACCCACTGGCTCAACTTACCCCCTTCTCCCCTACGCTAAAACAGGCTACAAGAACTTTGAATACTTTTTTGTCACTTTGTTTTGTAGTACAAATCCACAGGTGCTTGAAGGCATGGCAGTGAGAGTAAAACTGCCACACCTAACGGCATCTTCCGTGCCAAATTAGTGCAAACATTAATACAACAAGTTCTGCCTCTTCTTCTTCTGACAGACTGAAGGGAACCCATTGTAACTTGCATCGCATGAAATCCAACAAGACATGACAATGTTTTTGGCAGCGACACATTTGATTACGTGAAACCGTCAACAGGACTCAACTCAAATACCTTCAGACAAGCTGCATTACATTTCTGATGCCAACACCCACTAGCTGACCCCCTCTACATGAAGTGGGCAAGTATAAAAGATGAATCAACACAGGTAATTATAGTTCTTCAAAATGAAACCTGTGAAGTATACATGGTCTATTGAGTGGATGACAGAAATCAAACATCCTATATACTATGACATATTCAAGTTTCCACAGATTTATAAGCAATTTTAAAGCATAAAAAAGTATACTTCCCTGACATAACCTCAAGAACTAAAATTGATTTTCTGGAACCCAACTCTCCTAAAGTTACAAAGTTAAAAAAACAAGCAAACACTCCCAGTCACTGTAAAAACATAAACTTAAAGAATCACCAGAGCATGAAAGTTATTGCAATGCATGAACACAAAAAAAGACAGCCTCGCCTACATAATCCCTGTTTCTCGGATCGGTGCCAATATATAACATATGGCTCTAAATGTATCTGATTATTAAGTCCACAATGCACACATACCAAATCCAACCATTGTGGTGCTTCCCTTCTCAAAACATCGCACAATCTCAAACTTGAAATGAAGAGAAACATAACGATATAAAAAAATCAGTCCAGCGCTGCCTTTTTTAAAGCTTGTTCTTTTCTTGTATTGTGGGTCGACAGATGCCTGCCAAGGTCTTGAACTTTGGCCCCAAATCATCCAGGAAAATCATATCATCTCCTTGGTTGCTTAGTGACAGCTCATCCAGTGATGGGCTTTTGCTGCCCAGTCCCTCATAGGCATACTCGTGGGGCGGGTACCCCACCTGGTCCAACTGGTTTGCATAAATCGTGTACAGTCTCTGTGGGATTGAGAAGTCATCAAAGGATTAATGCACTATTTTTTGTCAATAACAGATACTTTAAAAAAGCATATATAAGATAAAGATAAGATAAGATAAACCTTGATTGATTACAATTGGGAAATTGAAAAAGCAGCATCAGGGATAAAATGGAAAACCAGGATAACACAGGAGTTCACACAAGTTTAAATACGAATTAAAAATAAAGAATGTAAGTAACATTATATAATAAAATAACAACAACAGAATTAGTAGAAACTTTTTTGTTGTTGTATATATATATATATATCGAGATATGAATAGTAATGATTATTATATATAAATATACTGTCAATGTCTGTTTTCAAGTCCAAAGTAGGTACAACGTAGGTACATACAGACATCCGGAAGTATAAATGTATATGCATGGCCCTATTTCATATTCACGATACTACTTATTTCATTGCTGAAAGCAGTTACAAATCTCCTTTTAGGGATTTTGTTTTTATGCATGGTATGTTTAAAAGCATTAATAATTACTCCCTCTCATTCAAGCAAACAGGGAATTGACCATTGGGAAACATTTTGGGTTAATGTCCGGGGACACCTCAATGTGTGGCTTTAAGACACACTTTCTTACCCTGTCGATGTGATCTGCAATGTGTTGGTTTGAGCGCAGGCTGACGGAGCGCTGGTACATTGATGAGCTTCCCTGTTCAGAGAGAGGAGTGTCGTGAGCTCTGATGGGCTGAATATGATGTGCATAAGTGGGCTTCCCACTGTCTAGTTAACATACTATACATGCATGCAAGTGTATATTGCAGTCAAATAACTTTATGACTGACTTACTTATTGAACATTTCATTTGAATGAAGAGTATATTTACCTGGCGGGTGTTAGTCCTGTTTACATTCCATGTATTGTGCTGAAGTAAGGAAATAAACAGATTAAGTCTTAATACTTCATTCGATCTCACAATGCCTATATTTGATTAAAAAAAACTAAATAGACAGCACTTACAGTATAGAGAGTAGGATAAACATTTTATTATGTTCAACCAGTATAAGTATTCATCCCATTTGAATCAATAAGGGTGGGTGATTAGTAGAAACCCATGTCAGTGTAACACAAGTTTAACTGCAAAGTGTGTGGATATGTTATATTAAACTACTGTATATCAAACTGCTGTTCTAACAGTGCTGCTAATTCTAATGAGCAAGAAAATAACATAACATCTAAATACACATATAGATATACAATTATAAGACACAAATATATTGTACAGTATTTAACCTTTACAAATAGATACAGTTCATAGAACAAAAAAAAAGGTTTTTCTTCAAAGGATAGAAACAAAAATGACTAACATGGAAATAAATGAGACCAAAAAATAGAAATCCTCTTGCTTAAACTTCCTATGTGTCAGGCTGTAAAAAAAATAGGCATTGGTCATGTAGCATTATAACAAAGATAGTGACTCCCCCTTGTGGGTTTCAGAAAGTACTGTAGTGTGCATCCTCATAAAACACACCTATTTATCAGAGAAACGAGATGCAAAGAGATAACACATTCAAAAAAGGCTGCTATTGATATCACAGCTGCAGTCACTTACCCTGGCCAGCCCGCTGCTCGCGAAAGTGTTTCTTGGTTGCTGCGAGCCCAGTGAGGTGACGTTGATCTGTAGGGGTTACACGGTGAGGTTATTCAGGGTGGAAGATAGAAATACAGGACAGCTACTGGCTCTGCCTTATGCCAATTACAGATTTGTAGTAATCATCTGCACTCAGGGCTGAACACTATAATACATTAATTGTTTGCAATCATCATTTGTCTACACAACTGTAAAAATGACCGGTGTAATCCTTCATCTTTTAGGTTTACAAATACACAAATGACAATATTTAAAGGCCCCTTACTCACCATGTCTACCATTCGACTGTTGTTGAATTCTGTGTCCTTGACCACTTCATTAGATATCTCAGAAGTCTGGTTGAGCAAAGCAAATTAATAAAGCAACCTTACAAGTATGGGGGAGTACAAATTGCATTATATCTTTGACATTTAACAACGCTTCGCAAAACAAGTGATTGAAAAGGGAAAAATAACCACAAGACCAACTATTAGAAAACGTGTAGGTCCATGAATTAAAAAAAGCAATCTTATTCATCTGAACCTTATTTATCTGCACCAACTTTCATCCCACTTTCAAAGGCTACAATAGTGCTATGCAGTAAATGTGATCAGTAAAAAGATCAAGTAGTTTCTTCTTGCAAGTATTTTAGGCAATCCAAGATGTCTTCTTTGTATTGCCATAGGTCAACCATTTGAACAACTTGTTACACAAGCTGTGCAAACCCTGTCATTTATTCTATAAATGTGTCTACGACTTTTACTCCCACCACATTCTTATATAACACACCCTTCAATCAGTCACACATAAATTAAGTAGACAAAGAAAAGGAAAACAACTGAACTAAAGCAGTCATCCACTGTCAATACATCGACATTATGAGCTGCATTTTCTAAAACACACAGTTTCTGAAGTCATTTTTCTACAAGTTGCACGCACACTTTCAAATCAATATTGAAAAAGTAAAATGAGACTACGATGGGAGGGGAGGATTACCTTAATAGTGTTCATTTTAGGGGCATTGTTCACCATGCGTGTAGGTGTCAGGAGCAGAGTGGGCTCAGCCTGGCAGGGAAGAGAGAGTAAAAACAATATTAGAGGGGGGGGGTTACGTGCTCTCAGGCCCCGGCTCCACGGGGACGAAAACGGGTTGAATCCGCATATTTCTCATGCGTATAGCCCTCTAAGCTCGACGACGCCGTAAGGGAAACGTAGAAACAGACCCCGCAAACGACAACGGGTCCAAAGGTGGATAGATCTGGGAACGGAGCGCTCTGGGGGGTCCAACGGGGCCGTGGGGTCGCCTATACGGTCATTCGTTTTCATAGCCCCGCCTCTCCCCCACAGGGTTGCTATCGTGCTCCAGTCGCTACTGACCATGCTACAGTTCTTTGTGCAACATCTACAGGAGCTCCTCCTTGAATTCAGATTATTTATCTTTATCTCGATATGGACATAAACGCGAGTGAAGTCTAATCTGACAGGACGGAGACACGCAGCTCCTGCCGCTGTGATGCAGCGGGAGCAAAACACACACTTCAAGTCAGATCATCACCCTTAGCTATTTTAATTACCTCTCAAACTACCTAAACTAGTTATAAATATGTTCATTTTTACTGTCGGGTCACTCATTACAGGATCAGCTGCTGCATGAGACAGACACTGACGCTGTGAGAAGAGAGGAAAAAGAGACAGGCTCCGTGTATTTGACGATTATATATCATTATATCGTCGTTATTCATTTGTTTTAAAGCTCAATAAATAACAATGAAGACCTTTGACCGGCACTTTTATAATTTTGTCCGGAAGATTTAAACTTTAACACACGCTGACCGGCGAAAAACTCTGCCCGGTTCTGTCGGCCCCCACCGCGGAGAATACACAGAAGTGCAGCCATGACAACCATTCTTCTTCGCTGCTTTTGTGGAGGAAGTTGCTGCTTTTGTGGAGGAAGTTACAGCGCCACGTACAGGTTCGGCATATGTACTGCAGCTTTTCCAGCGTTTGGATGTAAACGGAGCCGTCTCGTGGAGCTTGACACAATCCGGTGTATATTGCGTGGGGACGGAAGGTTTTTTGCGGTTGCATTTGCGTTACTCCAATGCGTTTTGCCGTATTTGTCCTCGTGGAGCCGGGGCCTCAGTCTCTTACTCCCTCTAATTTGCACACACACTCACCTGGCAAGCAGAGCCCCCGCCTTCCTGGTTGTACTTGATGAGGGTCTGGTTGCCCTCATCCTGCACCATGACCATATCCTTCTTTTTACACTGACACGCCAAAAGGAAGAGCAGCACTGTAGACACACGGTAAAATAACGCAACATTGTGCTTGAATAATAAATCCTGAGGATTAACAACCCACTTTTAGTTAAATTACCTAAATGATCTCATTATGAGCTATTGTTTATTGGGCCTGAAATGTATGGTTGTACTTATGTTGAAATTGTTTGCCATACTCACACAAAAATAATAAGAGTCCTAGAAAGAGTAGCCCAATGCCTGCTTTCCCAAGGTTGGATGTGACTGGATCTTTGGGTTTGCAAACAACGCCCTCTCCGCAGTCACACACCATCACTACCATAGTTGCACTTGTAATCTCGTTTTGTTGGTCTCGAATCAACAGTGGCACTGAGTAGTTATCATATGGGAGTGGTGTCTGGCTAATAAGCCCAGCTTGCGCACCTGGTGAAGGGTTTAAAGAGAGCTGAGTTGTGGCTGTTCAATTTCCAACATTATATAGTTTTTCTAGTAAGAAGGATTTACAGATATGTACTAACCAAAGGAAGGGTCTAGTTTCCATCGCTCCGTCACAGTTTTGTCATCATCCACAAGGGAGAAAGTAAAGGGCCCACTGAAAGGAGGGACATCGTCGTCCATTGCTGTCACCATGACCTTGTTAGCCTTGTTTCCACACAAAATGGCACTATTGTTGGCCAGCATAGGTTTGTTGTCATTGATATCCTTGAGGTGGATCAGGACTGTGCAAGAACCTGTGGCTGGAGGCTCATCTGTGTAACCACAGCAAAAAAACAAAACCCTTTAATGATCCAGGCATTAGTTAACAAGTTGGCAACATTATGTGTTTGCTTAGAATAAAAAGTAGGCCTCCTTCATACCATCATCTATGGCACCAAGGACGATTTTGTAAACGCTGTTTTCATCAACAAATTCTGACTCTCTGTCCATGATTTTAGCTGTTGTGATTGTTCCTGTTTTCGCATCAATGGTCATCCATTTCCCTTGATCTTCTAACAGCACATGCCTAATAACATGAGGAGAATCAAAACACTGAATTGCAGCTGCTGGAAGTCAAATGCATGGTTTTGCTGTGCTGCAATCAAAACACTCCTGCATAACTTGAAGTAAGTATTTTTGTATACAGTATGCCTTGTAATTCAACAGGTCATTTCTAATATGATATGGGAAATTTCATTTAAATGAAGGGCTTGACTAATGTATCGCAGTAAGGTTATTGCAATGCAGATATATGTATATCAGGTTATGGACATCTGCTGGCCACTTAACTCGCAGTAAAAACTGCAAAATATATAAGATTAGTTTGGATTTAATTAGATGACATTAGATTAAATTAACTTTATTGTCCACCTCTTGTTTTTTGCTTTTCCTAACACAGCAAAGGTACATACAAAACATATACAAGTACTAAGAACAAATAAAGTCAGTTGTTAACAATAAAAAATGTCCCCTCATTCCTTTGACAACCACCGTTATCCGAAATAATTGTTAGTAGTTTTAAGATTTGTTTTAAACTCTGTATATATATTTATATATGTTGCAATGAACACATCAAACACAAATTACTGTATTTAAACACCAACCTGACTTTGGATAAGACAGAGTCGACATCTGTAATCTTTGGAGTGAAAATCTCCTTTCCTGGCGGTTCCTCTTCCTTCAGGTACAAGTGAAATATGTTTTTCTCATAGACAGGTGCGTCATTGACATCAATCACTTTCATAGTGATGTTGACTATATCTCGAGGTGGATGTTCGCTTGCGCCGACAAGTTTATTGTCTTTACAAAGAGTTAAGGGTTCATCATTCTCTACTTCAACCAGGAGATAAGTTATTTCTGTCTTCTCGAAATCCTTGCCCTGGAAGAAACACACAAGTTTAGATCAGTACTGTGACAGCTGTAGCTGTAAAAATAATGTATTGAACTTGGCACATTGGAAAATAATTACAATTGTTATTAGCCTGAGAAAAGCACAGTTACCTTAATAACACTTAAAATGCCCTCATTGGTTACGGGATCAGTATCAATTTGGTAGTTTCCGTCTTCATTCCCTTTCATGAAGATGTATTTGGCACGCCAGCCAGCAGTATTAGGAGTGTCTTTATCGTCTACTGCAATTCTCAAAATGTCGTTCTTGGTGATCATTTCGGATACCTCACCTTGGTACTGGAATAAAAGAACAGTTTCATGTTTAACATCTTACCATAAATCACTTTAAAAAAGTAACTAAAGTATACAAAAAAAAAGGTTGTGCCTTCTTCTGCCTGAAGGTCGGTGCATGAGTGTTGGTGTCAATAATGTTGAGAGTAATGAAAGCCGTGGATGATAGGGATGGGTCTCCATGGTCTTTGGCTTGAACAATAACGTCATACTTCTTTACTTTCTGAAACATATATAAAAGTATGAAGTAAGAAGATTGAAAATGTTTTATATGTGTTAATAAATCATTATGAACAGTATATTAAATGCAGCTGCCAGGTGATGTAGGTAAAATCTCACATCGTAATCGAAACATCCTTTAAATGTGAGATGGGCCACATCCTTCACCTGCTTCAACTCAATCTTGGGCTCTTTTGGTTCCTGTTCCAAGCTGAAGGTGAATGTTGAGTTAATTGTATTGCTCTGATCTTTGTCCACGGCTTTCAAATTCGCTAACGGTCTTCCTTCATGAAGACAAAGAAAGAAAGCAACGCAGATTGAATGTGTTAGAAAAGTAGGATTGGGAGAAAAGGAACACATTTTTATTATAAAAAAACATGATAGAAAGTGGAGCTTAGGTTTGAAATGATGTGGTCGCTGATTAACCCTCTAGACTTCATGACAACTTTTCCATTCTTTGTTGTGTATTAGTAGAAAATATGCATACTCTCTGAGCCATGCATACTGCATACTCACCCTCTTCTAGGTTTTCCTTCACCTCCTACATCCATTTTAGACTGGAGGAAAATCGGGGCGTTGTCATTGATGTCCTTTATTTCTACATCAAAAGCTAGTTGCTTGTCTATTGTTTTGTGATCCGCTTTACTCAATATATTAAATTTGATCTGTGGGTAAAGGCACACAAGTTAAAATGATTTAGAAGGGTTACACATATACACAGAATGTATATATCGTGAGAGGGATTGGTTATCCATTATGAGCTCACATGAAAGGATTCATCTGTTTCTCTGTCGATAGGTTTAAGGGCATAGACACTTCCGTTAATTTCATTGATTTTGAACACTCCCATCGGCTTCTCCGTCACACCCATTTCCAGTGATTTCGTAGAAGAACTCGTCTGTATGCGTCTGGTCATTAAACATCTAGAGTGAATACAAGAACTCTTTAGCTGTTTTTGTTTTAATGTAAAGCCCAGCCAACATATTGAACTGCCTCGGTGATGGGTCATTTAATTTACAAAATGATATCCTCACCTGCGAAATTTCCTTCGGGAATGGCCCGGAATCTTCCTCTTGTATTTCAATTGTAGACAAAACCCACCTTCTCTTGGCACGCACCAAAAGCTCCTGTCAAAAACATAATAAAGATCAATTGAATGAAATACAATAATTAAAATGTTTGATTAAAAGCAAAAATATTTTGGCAGGGGTTTGCATTTTCAAACATGACTCAGTTACCCGCTTGTCACGCCTGTGGTGTCTTCCATGGAAAGACTCGGTCAGGGCTATAAATGCAACCTAAAATATAAGATACATTGTAAATAGAGGATTTATTCCAAGATATACAGTGAATAAAACTGTTGAAAATAATTGCAGATGTTCAGAATCATATAATCAATTAAAGTTAAACGAGTTAAATCGTCTTAACACTGCTTGAACCTTTTCACTATGATGTGAATCTGCAAGCCAGTGTTTTACTACAATAGCTTTGTTTCAACAAAAACCTTGGTGAGTGTCAATGGAAACCAATGTTACCGCTAGGCAAGGTTTGACACCTGTACACCTACATTGACATGGTTAGTTTATTTTGGCACTGGGAGCAAAATATTAATGAGCTTCTGTAAGACATCAGTAATGTCCCAGTGAACTAAGATATGCGTTTTAAAAAGAACATTTTTCCTATTATATTTATCCTGTAGAATAACAGCAACAGATATGACTGCAGGGGAAGTACGTGATCTGTTTAAAATGTGTGCTTTTGCTTAGCCAATGAAGGAGGTCATGTTACCATGTCGACAACATGTGTTTCCATAATGGATGCATTAAACCGGTTTTGCTCTCTGACTTCATCCATCTTTAACTACCGGCAGACTTTTTTATTGTGCGTAATATACACCTGCTGTTATTCCCATGTTAAAATTAATCACAAGCAACTACAACTCTCGTAAAACATTCATTTCGTAAGAGAAATAACACAACATGATTGCTTCTTAAACATTATGATGCCTTTTATAAGGTAAAATAGAATTCAGAAAGTATGCCTACCAACAGAAGCAGAGAACAGGTCCTCATCTTGGTCCACACTGCTTGCTTTGTGGGAGTACTCCAAAAGAGACAAAGTCAGTTTGAAAAAGAGTGCACAGAAGACAGCCCACAATGACTGCAGGCAGGTTGGCTGACTGCCGATAACAAAGGGCACTCTGTTTGTGCGCAAAGTTATCTGCTATGTGATCAGTCAAATTAAATTTGAGTGTAGGACAACAATGATATTTTAGCTTCCCTGTATTATTTGTAGTAGCTAAATATATTTTGTGAGAGAGTTTTTAAGTTAACACGAGTACTCTCTGGCTGTGCAGAGGAACAGGGCTGTCTCAGGTGTATACCCCTCCAGCTCTATAGCTCAGGTTACCATGTCTCATTTATGTCTGGCAACAAACGAAACTGAATTCCATAGGTCCTGTCAGATAATGTAGAGAGACTGACATGACATTTAAAACCTACCTGGGCAGTAATCATAGCTCTTAAACGTAGACAGTACACTTTGTCCTTTTATACATGCATATTCCCATACTACTGCATGTAGGCATAATTTGCGTCTAGATAGGTCTCGCAAACACATACTGAGGGCATGCTCACATCCAGTTACAAACTTAAACAATACATAGGCGAATTTTGAACATGAAAAGCCTGAACCTTAATTGAAAAAGAGTTGTAGTGAGTGATAAATGAATACAATAGAGATAACACACGGTTAAATAATATGATTTCAGAAAATAATTGTGGATTCCTTATGTCCTAAATAAATAAACAGTTTTGTTTTACAGTTACCAGTTGCCCACTTAATTCCATTAACTATATATTAAATGATAAGGCAATTGTAAATGTAAAGACTCATACATGGCTCAGTGGCTGGTGTGTTGCTGTTTTAACTATCTAAAGGAAGTTTCATTTGAATTTAAGTGCTGTACATTGCTTTCATGTGTTCTTCAGTTATCACATAATATTTGTATTCTGTTTTATTTCACCAAGATAAAATGCACCACGTGTCATTTATCTATTTCCCAAAGGGTGTCACAGAGGGGCTGGTTCCATTTAGGCAGTGAGGGGTTCGACTTATAGACAGACTCAGCTTTTCAGACCCTTACCACTGGGTGTGGTAAGCAGTCAGTCTACAGTCGTTTGAACAGAATGAACATAACAACACATTCCCAATTGTATTCGCTGCTGTATGAGTAGCAAACAACCTGTTTGCCCTGCGGCAGGTTTAACAGTTCTATAGGAGGGGTTTCAGAAACACGGCATCTGGAGAAGTGCAAAACAAGTATTTGTATTCTCAATACAATCTACAATCTCTTATGTATATAGTGCCTTTCAACACAAGGCAAGGCGGACAAGCGAGTGAAGAGACTTGTTTACTATATGAAGGAGATCTGAGGCCATGCAATGAAAAACATTTTTGAAAAAGCCTGTTGGTATAATATCAAAGCAGAAGGAGGAGGATTTCAGATGTTGAATAATGTCTTCTACTGTAGGTCTTTAATGAGATGGAATTGTGTCATGGTGTTTGAATTGATTTTAAGTGGACACAGGGACAACTGCTTGTCTGATTTTCTGAATGTTGTCAGTGAAGAAGGAGGCAAAGTCATTACAGGCCCTGGTGGATAGAAGTTCAGAGGCTACTGACACTGGGGGGTTTGTTAGTCGGTCGACGGTATAGCAAACAAGGCACGTGCATTGTTTTTGTTTTTGGCAATGATCTCAGAGAAGAAAGACTGTCGTGCATTTTTCAATTCCAAATTATAAAAGCCAAGTCTCTCTTTATAGATTTCAAAATGAACATGGAGATTTGTTTTTCGCCACCTGCGTTCAGCTTTTCTACACTCTTTTTTCTGTTCTCATGGTCAAGGCGTTTCTCCATGGAGATATTTTCTAGCAAGACACTTCGTTTACCTTAGTGGGAGCAATGGCATCTATAACATTAAAACAAATTAAATTAAATAATCTACTAGCTCATTAACAGAGATGTTAGCGAGGGCAAGTGTTGAAGAAAAATTGTGAAGAAAGCAAGCAATATAGTACAAAGACCTCATAAGCATTATTGGTACCAACATATTTTTGGAAGAAGGGCTCCAAAAAGAGAGTCCAAAATAAAGAGAGACAGCAAAGGCAAAACAATACAGTATCTATAATAAGTCAATTCAGATTTTTATTAAGTGCATAGCAAGATGTACAAGAGGGAGAAAGACTCACATCATGACCAAAACTGTGAAAAAGATGTTTTGAAAATAGCGTAGGTTCACCAAGGCAATCCTGTTGTATAATCCTGTGTAGTATTTACCACACCCTAAAACACCCACACCCACACCACACACCACACACACACACACACACACACACACACACACACACACACACACACACACACACACACACACACACACACACACACACACACACACACACACACACACACACACACACACACACACACACACACACACACACACACACACACAAAAACGAAATTCAAGTTTTGGGGGGGGTTACGTTCACTGTTGCTGACATGATTCATTTTGATCATATTAAACAGAGTTTGATATTCACTGTAAACTGCCATTGTTTCTCCTTCCAATCAGAATCTCTTCAAGGCATGCAGCCAAAGACCTTTCGGGTTAAAGTCTTTCATGTTTTTAATTCTCACTGTAAGGTTGGGAACTCCTTTGAGAGGTATGCTCTCAATGTAGAATCCCAGCCAGAATATGTCATAATATAGAAGAGGGATGACTCACAGTGACTCACTCAAAGTACACACACGCAAACAGGAAACTTGAAAGATCATTACTTCAACAGTTTAAACATTACAGTAATGAAATCAACCTGGTCTCACCAGAATGCGTGACTCCACCACGCACCGGTGTTAAGGAGTCGTGGTGGAGTCACGCATTCTGGTGAGACCAGGTTGAATTAAATACAGTGTTTAACACTTACTAGGAAAATTGATTTTAAGTTGTAAAGAAAATCCAATATAATCAGGGAAAGATTCAAGAAAATGTAAATGCAAATAAGAGCGAGGACAACCATGCCAGGGTTCTCCCCACAAATAAGGATGGCATTTAAAAAATGTTTGAACTCAAGTATCTCTACAGAGAGTAAAACTCAGTCTTTATGGAGATTTAGTGGCAAGGCATTTTTCCTCCTCGTCTTCCTCCTCTGTTTCTTCATCCCTCGTGTGGGGAACAGAGGTTAGTAGCAGAGTGTCGGCATGGACTTCTTCGTCGTCCGACTGGATCACAGGTGTGTCGGCTCCACCCCCGCTGGTGTCACTCGAACCAGATGATGTAGAGGACATGCGAAACTTTGATCCGCGCTGAACTTCATCTTGTTGCTTCAAAGGTGCTCGCTCCCTGTACACAACCTCTGCATCGTCATCCTCCTCATCTTCTTCTTCTTCATCCTCCAAGTCTGTAAACAGAAGCGGTTAGGACATGTCTGCACCGGTTCTGTCAGTGTGTTGTGTTGTTTCATTTCATTTCATTTCAAACCTTTATTTAACCAGGTGAATCCCATTGAGATCATCGATCTCTTTTTCAAGGGAGACCTGCTGATCTGTTGTGTCATTGATTTATTGTTTCCCATATTAAAGATTCACTGATGCAAGGAATTAAGGTATTCAGTCTGCTGAAAGGGTGCGGATATCTGTGTATTAGGAAATGTACTTCCCAAATCAAATGCTGCAAAGCTGTTTAGCAGCTGACTCCAGTTTTGATAATCCACAAATTCATTCTATATCTTAAGAAAATACTGTTTGTATCGAATAGCCAAATACGCAAACTAGTTTAGAGTTTCAACAGACGATTATAAAGAGTGCAGCAAATCACAGCCAGGTCAACCATGCTGATCAGGTTTCTCCCATAAAAAAGGATTGCAAAGGTAGAGAAAAGAGAGATTCCAGACTGTTTTGTACTATTGCACCCTAAATATCGTACAAAACTATAGACATCCAAATGAAGAAACGTATCTTACTTTTACTCATGGAAGTCTCTGTGTTTTGTTTATTTGCCTGCTTCTGTAATACCTTCATGTGAAACTTCATTACATTAAGTCAAAGTCAACTTTATTGTCAATCTCAAAATATGTTTGTACACACAGAAAGATCGAGATACTGTTTCCCACAGTCCCGAGGTATAAAAAAACTCACACATTGAAATGCAAGAAGACTCCATAATTAACAAAGAAAACACAAAATAACCGTTTACTTCAAGTAAGCCAGGATATATATAAAAAAGAAGATGTACATAGTGCAAGAAAGTACAGTAGGCTTAAGAAAAGTACAGTAGCAGTATGTGACTGCGGCTCAGAGGCCATCTGATCACCTGGTAGTGGAGATGCCAGCGCTCCCTCGTCTGCTCCTGAGTTTAGAAACACGTCCAGGGCCTCCTGATCAGAGATGTCCATCAGGTCCATCTGCTCCAAGACGTCCACATTAACCTCCATAGAAGAGATACTTCCCATAGGGGCTGCGTTTACAGACAGAAGAGCTTACAGTATATAACATGAATACACACTTTGGTATAAGTCAAAAGAAATACATATCACCATTTTTTTTTGTTGCTGGCCCACAGACCACAGGTTTGCAAATGTTCAGGTCTTTCTTGTTGTTTTTAATTAAGTAAACACTGCTAACAATGGCTGTTAATGTATTTGAAACCTGAAAGTAGTTTGCCAAATTTAAACTTTCAATGTTTAACACAGTTTTCCATTAGTTTTGACTTAACACACATTTCACCTTTTTTTCCTATTTCTATCAACAAAAACAGTATTTATGCCCCCAAGACTGGACAGTTACTCACGTTTCCTAAAGCTGACCTGCAGGTGAGCAGAGGGCAAGTTGTTGTCCACGTCATGCTGGTATACGTCTTCAAAAAAGTGCTGTCTCTCTTTTCGCTTCAAGTTCTGAGCAGAATCGTTGTCCAACACCCGCTGAGAGTTGTCGGTCTCCGCTGACCACCCAAAACAGACACAAAGAAAAAACCATTAAAATAATTTCAGTTTATTCTCTTTTTACAGATTTCCGTTGTTTTATGTATTTGTCTGCATTTCACTGAAATTAGCTTCATTTAGTTTCTGTTCCTTTACTTGTGTTATTCCCAGAAAGTCCATAAAGCAAAGTTGCACAGCCGCTGTCCTGTTTCACATGACTGCGAGGCAACTGTGCTTTTAAGAGGTCTTTTTTCCTAATGCAAAAAAACACTTTAAAGCAGTTATAAAAAAAGATATACATCTGTATATTTGACATTTCATTAAGGAACTTTCACCTAAAGTGTCAGATGTTAGATACACCACTGTTAAAAGGCAGCCATCATGAACGGCATATTCCCCCTCCCTTTTGCCTTAGTCATCATTCTATTGTGCACTTCACAGAAAACGTTATTCCCCCTCCCTCTTAATTATACTTAGCACTATCAATTAAATCATACAATGCAAAACAAAATCTGTAATCAAATAAATCTAGACTCTAGGAAGGTTTTAAACATGTTTGCCTACTGTGTGCCAAACGCTGTCAACAGGTTTGGTTTCTAAACAACTGTGTGCCAAACGCTGTCAACAGGTTTGGTTTCTAAACAACTGTGTGCCAAATGCTGTCAACAGGTGTGGTTTCTAAACAACAAGGTAATATATTATCTGAAAGTACTGTAAATGCTCTGTTCAAGTCCTGACATTTCCCACGATTAGCTATTGCTTTTGATTGGCCCTCAGGGTGTTTGCATTGGATTGTAGAACATGTGCTTTCAACATGCCCTTTACTCAAGTTCTATCTTTGAGCTGTCATTACAGTCACTTGGTGTTAGCATACTCAAGTGTATGAGCAGAAAAAGAAAGGATAAGAAAGAGTCAGCTGCCGCAAACCGTGTAAATCTCTGAAGATCCCCTGATTCCATTGTGTGACATTACTAGGATTTATTTTAATGCGTGACAATGCAGGCATGCTGTGAAAAACAAGAGAGCATCTGTCCTCAGATCTACCTCCAGCATCGACCTCTGTCATTCTGACCAGCTATGGTTGTGTAACCGTCCTCCTGAGAACACACTGTGCCTTCTCCCACTGGGCTTCACGAGCTGACACTTTGACACATGTCACCAGTGTTTAATGTTTGTGTGTGTGTGTATGTGTGACGGCGTGTATGAATATAGTGCGAGCATGTTCACTCAAACCGTATCAGACTGTGCTTATGCATTCATGCTTTTGGGATGCATTTAGTTAATGCTCATTTTGTGTGAAACGTGTATCAAGTTAGCATTAATAACATGTTTATTACATGTGATGCCAGCAGATGGTACAGTAACAACATTCACGAAAACAAACAGTTTGACCCAGATGTTCTCTTTATATACTGTAGTTAAGGTCGATCTCTGGAGACCCAACAAGTCTGTCAGTCACGCTTCCACAGCCTTGGAGGGGTTTGTGTTCACTATCATGTGTTCACTTCATGATTCAAGCTGTCTGTGAAGGCAGGGACAGGCACAGTCCCTCTGGCTGATATTTCAGCTGTACAGTGTTCAGACATGAAAGTAACTACTTTGATTGCCACTGATCAAACTAGATGCAATGATAAGGCTGAACATGCTGAGACATGTATGTAATTGCTGTTGGTACTGGTATTCATGGCAACAGTTCACCAAACCTTCAGCTGCATTTGCAACCCTGCTTTGAGTTGCAATTGTGGAGTAAAGCAACAAATCCAGCTTTGGTCAAATAGATTTTTTTTCTCATATATTGTTTTATTCATTTCTATTCTACTCTCATTTTAATATATGATTGGCAACCAAACAAGACATCTGATGTATTTCCCTATAATTGGTCACCCTTCTGTCCGTCTATAATTATGGGGGCGGCTCGTAATCTATCTGATGTTTTTCTTGGTTCATTGATACTGTAAGCCAGTTGGTTTCTAAAGCATTTATTTGATTTTGATCTATTTATTTAGATTTTAGATTTGATTTTAGAACCAAATCTCATACTGGAGAAGTGGGAAAAGTATTAATGAGCAATAGATCCATTACTAAAAAACAGTAGCACTCACCCCTAGTGTGTCTAGGCAAAAGTCCATTACATAAGTCCACTGGCCAAGCCTGTCCTGTTTATCTAGCAGAACAGCTTGACTGAGCAACCCGTGACTATTATGTGCATTGTTCTTGACATAACAGATCAAGGTAGTAATCATATTTAAAAGACATACTCTTGAGGGAGACCCTTAACCTCAACATGCCTACATCCCAGAATCCCCTGCCATCCTATCTCAATGCCACCGGCCGTGTGTCTATGATCATTCAGCAGGCATTAGCACTGGGCAGTTTGAGACAAATACACCAGTAACTTCAGGCCGTTACAGCAACGGCTCCTGATGATGAAACCGTACAGTTTACGTAAACTTCAGCTTTGCCTGCTGGCCTTATGGGGTGGTCTTTCTCTCTCTCTCTTTGTCTCTTTCTCTAAAAATCTAATTGTGCTACTTAAATTGCCAGTGGACATGCTCAACCCACGCACAAGCTCAGCAACATGTCTCCATCTGTCACAGCGTGGAAGAAAAACATGTATGTTAAAAGCTGACTCATCCAGATATAACCACTAGGTTTTTTCTAAAACCCTGCTGTGGGAGACATGTAGGAGGTCTCCATGCAAATTGGTTAGGTTTGCATTACTACCATACTCTGTGTGAGACCCAGATGGCGTTCCTAGCCTCCAAGGGGGAATCCTTTCATTTTGACAGGGGTTATTAACTGCCAACAATCTGTATGACTGCTGGAAAGGAACAGATATAATTCGCTTATTAATAAAATCCAGTATAAACAGGGATTGCCAGCTAGTAATTCGTTCACTGGTTTGTGCGCACAAAGACAAATGGAAAATGTGTTATGTAAAAGGGGAACTTCCATTTTTAGGTTGCTCAATTCACATGAAGGAGTGACAAACTACAGGTGTGTCAAAGAGCTGAAATTGGCTTTGATAATGTACTGTTTATTTGTTGTTGAAGTGTTGGCCTCAGGGTGATAGGCAGAGCCCATAAATACTATTATTACATAACTCAATTAAATATAGAGCGGTGAGATGAGGGACTAGGCTCCTTGGAAGGTTCTACATTGTATGTGAATGACTGCTGACACTGCACTAAAAAACATCATTATTTGAAAATAAAACCATAGAATTAATAATTCAGTATGACGGCTCAGTGCAAGAAGTGGCCTGGCAGTGTTTTATCTCAAACTCTGCTGATGATTACCCTGAAGCACTGTAGCAGTTTTGTTTTCCTAAGAGTCTCAGAGAAGAATGTGTTTGGCAAGGGCAAGACAGCTAACCGTCAAGAAGTAAAAAAAAACATTTTGGGTTCCTTATCAATCGGCCAATCGTCAATCAAAGTTTATTCATATAGCCCAATATATGAAACTGTGACGGTAAAAAATAGACCATGGTGGGGCGCCACAGTCTAGGTCATTAATGGGAAAAACTGTTTTTGCATGAATCAAGTTAGATATTAAATGATATGTATCTAAGTAGTTAAAGGTGGGGTAGGTAATTTTGGAGAAACCAGCTCGAGATCGCTAGAATTTGAAAATACACAGCCGGAAAAAATCTCCCACTTCCTTACAGAGCCAACACCAACACACACGAACGCGCACATGACCAATGAGGGCACGAGATAAGTTTGTGCACAGATGATTGGTCGTGCTTTTTACAGTACTACGGCTTCCAGCGATGACATTTTTTTATGGATTTTTTGTCAAAGCACTTAAGATATTCATTGCTATCGGGATGTTAAGAGCATTCCATGGAATATAACAAAAAGGTGTATCTCGAGCCGGTTTCTCAAACTTACCTACCCCACCTTTAATAAACGTTTGCCATATGGAAAAAACTCAATATGGCAAAATTCCATATGACATAATTGTAAGATGAATTTGGAGTAGCAGTTGAGGATAAACATGCTTCGACTTGTGGACCTGTTTCTCATTCCAGTGTACGCACTCAACGAGGAAGAAGATCTTTTCATTGTAGAGGCTTCTGTTTTTCTCATCTCACGCCAAAGAAAAAGACAAAGAAAGACGAGATTTAGAGCTGCTCTCTGAAATTCCATAACACTTATGATCTGTCACATGACCTATGCCCCCTACCCAGAAACCTCTCAGCCTACACTGAACCATAATTACCTAGGGCTTATTGTTACATAATAATGTTGCAATCCTTCAACTGCACACCCTATAATTACTGTATTGTCGTGCACGATCATGAAACCAATGATTGTGTTGGCTGAGTTTGTAGGAAAGGAAGGAAGAAAGGAGTTGATGAGAAATGAGAATGTGGTGTTATGCAACCTGATCCCGCTGTGCATCATTCCCGCTAGAAAGTAGCTGTAGTGTCAGTGATTTTAGGCAAAGAGCTGTGAGAGTCTGCTTACCTCAGCTAAGTCTCATACTGACACAAACAAGGATGCAGAGAAGCCATGCATTATGTGCATTTGTTGTGAGTCAGGGCAAAAGCGCACTGAATAGAAGGCATTTCATTGGCTTTCATTGAAGAGCTGCAAGAAACCTTTTTTTTCACGTTTCTTTATTCTCTTTGTTTGCACATTTCCTAATTCCTACTCTTTCAGGCATTTCCACTTTGCTTGCTGTTGACCAGACCACAAGCATTTCTTTATGTCTAGGAATCTAATACAAGATGTAGAGGTGGGTGGGAGGTGGGGGGCCAGGGCCAGAGGTGACAGTTGAGCTGAAGCACATGATGTTTTTATCCTTCTGATTATTCTTTCACAGTCTGATCCGTTAGCTAGTTCCACTCCTCTGCTCCCAATAATCCACACGGCTAGTCTTATATTTCTTTTAAAATGTGCTGAATTACACACCAGTTTCTGTCATGTTTTATTGTTGCCCCATCATGCAGTGTGCATGTGTTTCTCTACGTTGTCTTCTGTCTTTCTACCTTATCAGCAACTTTTCACTAATGAAAACATCTAACTGAATACATGCATCATTAGCTGCTCTGTGTCATTCTAATGCGGAAATAATACATCAAGAGTTCTGGGAACTGCAAAGGAAGCAGGAAACAAATGTTCCTATTGAACCAAAGAGTCACATGGTGAAGCGTTCAGTCCCCCTGTGGCGAATGGAAAGAAATCCCATGATCATCTCTCTGTTTGAAGAGAACAGAAAGACTGGGTGTTTGTGTGTGTGAGAGTGAAAGAGCTAGGAAGGCATTTGCACTGCATGGCCAGTCCCATTTGACAGCCCATCTATCTCAGACTCCTCCCCTCCTCTCCTACAGTAAGGAAGGGGCCGATGATGGTGTCACCCGGCTCTCAGCAGTATACAGAAGCATCATTTTTAGGTGTTCCTGCTATTATTTACAGAGCCAATCACTCCCGCGCTGGCCACAGCAGACCATCAAGCATAAATCATTTACTGTATGAGTGAGATCACTGCACCACAACAGCCACATCCCCCTACCATGCTTCCCCACTCCCCTCACCTCCCACTCTCATGTATCCATAAACACACAGCTGTGTAGTAGACAGAAAATCCAGGCAGCTCGTTTATGATACCACCTATTCTCACAAGACCGGCCTTCATCATTTACATACTATGGTACACTGCAGGAAGTTATTCATTCAAATACTTCATTCAAATGAAGTCTGCATTGTTACGTTACTCTCATGTTCAGGTTTCTACAGTGTGATCCCGGTGCTGTTATCATATCTTGAACCTTGTCTGAACACACACTCCGCGATGTCTGATCTGATTGAATATTCCCAGGGCATTTCCCATTCCCATTCCCAAAGCCATTAAGGCACTTCACTTGGAGCTAAATGCAAAGATGACCTCCAGCAATGCCCACTGTTCCCGATTTAGGTCAGCCATAACAGGGCTTTCAGCAGTCTCCACAGAGATCATGTGTAGTGCTCTACCTCTTCTCTGCACACATTGACAAACACTCACATGTACAGTACAGACACAAATTCATTAAAGCAGCAAGTAGTATGGCAACATATCAAAGGATTCTTCACAGAGAGAAACTCTTGTGAAATAATGTGCTCAATTAGAAAGCAAGACAATGTTTCTCTGGCAAGCAGGTAGCAGTTAGCCTGTCTTCCCTGTTTCTATAAAAAGACCTTCTTCCTGTAGCTTAGTAGAAGGAGTTGTTATCCCTTCACTGTGATTACACCGCATCTGCATCAACACTGTAACATCAACATCAAGGCTGTCAAATGATGTTACAAAGAAAAGTCCAATAGCTGTGATTATTATTACGGACTATTTCATTTGCTAGTAAGGCTTGGTTAAAAGCTGAACGAGAAGTTAATGGATTCATTGAACATGTGTTTTTTGAGTGAGTAATAATATAATGGAACATCGGGGGGAAGCTTTCAAAATCAGGACCCATAGACAATTATAATTAAAAGATGTAACAGCCATGCATTACCTACAGTGTGTATAACATAATGTACAGCTAATAATGAGCTGTTATCCTATTAGGGAGCTTACTTATGCTGAACTATCATGAACAGTTAACTGTTTTGTTGTGAATAGTGGTGATTTACGTATTGCTAAACACATAAGTAGGGAATGAATACCCTTTGCATAATAATTAAATATTAACTTTTCATTGCGTGAGTGATTTAAAATGCCATTTTATAATATGTTTCTGCTGCACTATTTCTTAATGCTCTTAATGTCTTTCATTTTTGTAAAGCACTTTTAATTGCCTTGTGTTGAAAGGTGCTATATACATAAACTTGCCTTGCCTTGCCAAATGCAAACATTTTCAAAGGGTCAGAACTGTGGGAATTGAATGAACTAAATAGCTGCCCCATGTATAGAAAAAACCATTACTTGTTAATTAGAACAACAATGCAGAGTCAATCCCTCAACAGTACTGTAAGTCTGCTTGGTATCACTTTCTCTTCAGTTACATGTCTATTAATACTGGTGGTTACTTACATGCCAGACGCTTGTTGTGGATGGTTGACCCGGTAGAAGACATGGTCCAGTGGATCTGGAGTGCTTGCAGAGATTGACTTGCCTTTGCGTGTGTGTGTGTGTGTGTGTGTGTGTGTGTGTGTGTGTGTGTGTGTGTGTGTGTGTGTGTGTGTGTGTGTGTGTGTGTGTGTGTGTGTGTGTGTGTTTCTCCCCTCCTGTCAGGGCTCCAGGACAGGATGCTGATGTGTGAAGTGGCTGGTCATCTAGTCATTGCATCTCTTGACTTTGGTCCCAGGACTACCAGACATAGTACATCCACATTACACTTTCTTCTCCGTCCCCTTGTCTCTCTTTCTTCTTCTGTGGTCTGCCTTTTGGCTGTCTTCACTGTCTCCCTCCCCCCTTTCTGATCGCCTTCACTGTTTCTTTCTAGGTTTTCCCTCTCACTGCTTCACACTCATCTCGGCTGCCTCTCTGTGTCTCTCACACACACAAATACACACACACATACACACGCTTTCTTGCTCTCTCTGTCAGACAGGCTGAGAGGGTTGTAGAGAGCTGTGCAGCTTAGGGACGGGGGGAGAGTGAAAGTGGGCTACGGCATTGTGGCCTGTACCAAGTGGTTACAACAAGGGGGTCAACAGGATCAGGAAGTGTATAGGCTTTTTACATAATGTGAAGGAATATACCAGGAATTAACCCTCACGTCTCAACCATCATCTTTGCTTTATACATTTGTATGTATTTATTTATTCACTTTGTTGTGGGATGAAAGCTTTAGTTTGATAGGAGAAGAGTTGCAGCATAAAAATAAATCATCACAGTCTGTCTAAGCATAGATGTAAAGGAAAATTATACATTTACTTGACTTATTTTCACCATGCTACACTATACATTATATGAAATGTAAAATCATTTAGGCTTTATTTTTGAACGCGTTCGTTCTCTTAATTCTTCAAATGTTCTCTTTAACAATGACATTTTCTAATAGTACGATTTAAATAATGGCATTTTTACTGTAAAAAAAAGTATTCCAGGAATGTATTATTGCACTTACATTCAGTTGGGGAACTCCTGAAAGATTTGAAAGCAATATGGCTCTGTAGTAACTGCAGTTATTGGCACAGCGGTGACTTGAGCTAAATGCTAACACCACCATGCAAATAGTGGCAAAGATAACATGCAAATGCAGGTACAGAATGTAGCTTTTTTTTACCATCTTAGTTCAGACCATTAGCATTCTACATTTTCTAATGTATGACTTAACAAAAAGTGCAGCTGAGGCTGATGAGATTTGATTTGTTTTGCACATATTTGTTCATGAATTAAAGTATTGGGAAATGTAACAATTGTGGCCTGGTGATGGCAACAAACTGAAAGTGGTGGAAGTCTTAAGATTAAATGATCAATGGACCTTAGATAAAAACAGAAATTGACTCAATAGCTTTTAATCAATACAATCAAATTGTTATAAAGACATTTCAGTCGAGACAGAAGTGGTGGACAGACTGACCAACATTGCCAACCAGAGACAAACTATCGCTTAAATGCTTAATAATACAACAATTAAACTTCTCCAAAGCCACAAAATATATGATCAACTATTTTCAAAGGCTGACTAGTGCTCTCAATGATGGGGTTCCCTTTAACTGTTTAAAGCAGGGCTCTCCAACACGTCGATCGCGAGCTATGCTCGCGGGCAGCTTTTCAGTAGCTCGCCGCTCGATTATCGATTATAGCGTAGTAAGGTTGCTTATTGATTTTTCGGCCGCGGCTGGACCATAACGTTTTTTTATTTTAGAATTTTTTCTGTCACATGAATATCAAATGGTCGGTGACGCAGAGATCAAGGAACAGACGTGACAGCAGCACAGCGACATCACACACGAAGCAGTCTGCTTTCTCCACCAACACCAGTCCAGAACCAACAGCAGAATGACCCGCTCTGAATCAGGCCCTGTCGCTGCGCCTCAGAGACACACAGGGAGGGATTTGTGTTTTTTGAAAAACACTCGTTATCGTCATGTCAGGTTTTTGGTGGATTTAATCAAGTCTTGGATTGCAGAGTATGAATGTCCTCTTGCTATTTTCAGTTGATAAATACTTGTGTAAAGTTTGTGAAGGCAGGAGGAAAGCTTCCGCGATCACCGTCTCCTCTCCGTTCCTCCAAACCCCGCCCCCTCCCTGAAAATAATGAGTGACAGGCTGATAGTGACCCGATAGAAACTTTATTATTCACTTAATCACTGATTGAGATATGATGAAGCTAACTTAATCTCATACATTCATGGGATTTATGTAACAGTAAGACAGATAATGTAAGTGTGCACCCACATGCACTATTTTTGTTTTTATAATGCTATTGTAAATACTCCTGCTGTTTTCAGACTCAAGTCATGTGTGTGATGCCACATTCAAGACATTCAGTGTCTTTTTTTTAACAGAAGACCGTAGCTAGAAGCTGCAGCTAGACTGCAGAAGTATTAGTTTTTTGTTTTTGAGAATGGAACCATTTTCACACACAGATATAGGGAGGCTAGACCTATACAATTGATTTATTATGGTTTATAATTGAATGTCAAGACGAAGAAGAAGAAGAAAAAGATGGCTGAACAACTGTTCAGTGTCAATCCTGTGGAGATCTCCAAAATAATGTTCAGCTTAAGTCTCAGCAAAACTCACAACATTTCTGGAGCCTTGTAGACCCAGAAAACTATAAGAACATTCACCAAGCAGCACTGAAAATGTCTGCTTTATTTGGTTCTGTTCTACATACCTTTGTGAAGCAGCTTTTTCTGACATGAATGAAATCTAAATACAGAACAAGACCGACTGATGAACATTTAAATGACTCTATTAAGTGAACCTAAGTGGGTCCAGCATACACCTCTATGGTGGACTGCATGCAGTGCCATTCATCTCACTAACAAAAGAGTGAAATGCTTGTAAGGTGGTGATTAAGGACACTTATGTGAATGTTCAGTGATGTACTTATTATGTGGGCCATAATAATATGTGAGAAATCTTCGTTTTCTTGGACCTTATTTTTGATAAGCTTTAGGTATTGCAATTTCACACGTGTACAAAAGTATAGCTTAATTCAACTGATGAGGGCTATGTGAATAAATGTAAGCGATGTGATGCAAGTAGCTCTTGGCCACTTTCATTTTTTGAAAGTAGCTCTCAGATGAAGAAAGGTTGGAGACCCCTGGTTTAAAGTCACTTATTGTTAATTAATGGATTATTAGAAAACCATCAATAAACTCTGAGATATCATCAGGTTGTTGGAAATCCATTTTATTGTGTAAATTCTCTGGCATTTCTGTGTCTTTTTAATCTAGCAGCCTTATGGACAGTGTGTTCACTAATCTTCTGGAAAATAGCAGCACAGCCTCCCTTCAACTTCTAAACAATTACATTTAGAAAGTGCTGTATGTCCTTAATGATGTATTCAAAATAGTATTAAAACAGCAGAATGTCTCCCAAAATGATGTTCCTTTCCTTTGAAATCAATCTCCTTTTGGTTTTGTTAAGATGTTTCTGCAACAGCACACTTACTGTAAGCATGTACTAACATGTAATCAACCTCACACACGCACTAGCTTGAAGACATTTATAAACAAACACACGCAAGCATGCACATGTTCCCACAAAAACGCAGACTCACACTGTAACTGTCACACATTGGGGGTTAATTGGCACTTAGCAGCTTGGATTCTTGCAGGTCCTGACTCCCCCTTACCTAATAAGATGTTTCTAACTACAAGTTACATCACACTTCAGCTGGAGGAGGCTGCTCTCGTCTGGCCACTAATATTGTTGAAAACTCATTGCAGACTCTATGGGACTACAAGGAGACAGTGAAATATAAAATGAAATATTAATGCCTTGTTCCGTTTCCATTCTGTGGGTAATCTACGAACTAATTGGCCTTTGTTACGTGCATTCCAGCAAGGTTTCTTATCCTAAACTAATTGGTGAGTCAACAGTGACATCTGCTGGGGAAGATTGTGAATTACACTTTAGCTCACACTCAAGAAGCACATTCTGCGTGCAATGAGGACATGAGTCCATCGACAAACACTCAGCAAAACAAAAAGGACTTTACACCTCCATTATTGAGTATTATGTCATTAATACTTGGTGTCAATATCTGTAAGATCAAGTATTTTTCTGAAATGTTACAGATGAAGTATGCTAGTTGATTAAATGTTTCTTGGATAAATGAAACTTTTGGATTTCAGGTTTCTGATACTCCCAAGTTTAATTCATTCAGCTAAACAAAAAGGGGATTTCCAGCAACTGTTACACAGTGTTATTGTGTGCTTGTACATAAGTGTGAATGCACGCGTGTGTGTGTGTGTGTGTGTGTGTGTGTGTGTGTGTGTGTGTGTGTGTGTGTGTGTATGTGTGTGTGTGTGTGTGTGTGTGTGTGTGTGTGTGCGTGTGTGTGTGTGTGTGTGTGTGTGTGTGTGTGTGTGTGTGTAGTGCCTGTTGCTCTTTCAGCTCTATCAGTGCTGGCTTCCTCTTTGAAACTGTGTTGTCTCAATTTTCTGCAGCACAGTCTCTGATGTGGCTTGTGAGTCATACTGTGGTAAATATACACATTTGCGCATGCACACACACATGAGGACAGACTCACTGACACATGTATTAACATCCACACGCACACACTGTCACTAGTAAGTATTCCCTTTTCCTCCATGTTACACTTTAGTTGGAGACATAAACTGACATAAGATGTAGGATTTTCTCTAAGGATCAAAACAAAGCCTCAGTGACAGACAAAAAAAAAAGTTCTCCACTTCACATCTTCACAGACGCACCAGACATTGAAGTCAAAGCCCTCAAACTTTATTAAAAATATCTCATTGTGCTGCACGGGGATATTCTGGGGGTCACCATGGCAACAGACATCCAAGTGCCAAATGCAGGAATATGCACACCTGCCTGCCAGTGCTCCAACTTGTGCCTCTCAGCCTCTCTGTTAGACATTATCAAAGTGCTAAATGTGGTAGGACGGAGAGACGGCAGGAGCAATGCCTTTGTTCTCAGGGAACGGAGCACACAGCTCTGTCAAGGTGTTAATTAGCCAATGTGACACAGAAAGTTGTTAGGATTGTGCTTGCTTCTGCTGCAAGATGCACAACCTATTGTGTGAAAAAAAGCTTTTTCATGCAGACTTTGTAAAGAAGGCAACTTCAAACGTGACAACTTCTTTGAAAGCAGACATATTTCCAATACAACTACAGTCAATACTACAGTTGTATCTACCTGTTATGTTATTAAAATGTTCTGATAGCACCCAGCTCAATGTAATATGTCATGTCTCAGTTGTTTGTCGTCTCTCTACTCTCTCTGATTATGTAGTTATTTGAAAAAGGTCTGAAATTTGAAATAGGCACAGCTCTTTTGATATGTAATTTTGTGTTCTGCGTCTCTGTGGACGAGCTGTGAAAGTGTGCACTTGGAAACATCAGTTTTGAGTTACCATGATGGTTTGTGATGTCAGTTTTGCAAGTGTGCAGTGTTTTCAGTGTCTGACTCATGTGGAGAAAACAGGCTGCTTGGACTTGGTGACTGACAGTATCGGTTTAACTCGTCATGCTGAGCCGTGCCACTGATATACAGCAGTGAACTTCAT